TAATCAGTTGACCGTGCACAGCTGATGAATCAAAAGGTCAACACTCAGGCGAGGCTGAAGATGCAGCTTGTTGTCCGTTTTCAAACTGCTGATAATGTACAGCGGTGTAAATGGAATGTTGCCAGCGAACAAAGCTTTCACTGTGTCGCAGAGAAATGTCTTCCCTACCTCCTTCTCCATGGTTACCATGAAGCCTACGCAATTTAACAGGACGAGATAATGCCGCACAAGCAGGCACTCATACGGACTGAACTGAACCAAAAATCAACTGAATGTGCTCCATGCTGCACTAAAAAAATTGTATTAAAACAAAGTGTCCTGTTGAGAGGCCCCTTTGTTCAGCTGGAATGTCATGGAGCGTTTGCCACAGAGGTTGCATGGCTGTGGTGTCAGGGTGAGGGGTCAGAGGTCAGCAGAGTCAGATGAAGCAGCTGATTGTACAGTAGGACAGTGATGCTGAAGATCTGGAATGAGTGAGTAGGCGGTTCGGCAGCAGAGGGGTGCAGGGGTCAGAAAGCAGATGAACACAAGCAGCAGAGCTTTGTTCTTTCACTGTCTTTCGCACACACACACACACACACACACACACACACACACACACACACACACACACACACACACACACACACACACACACACACACACATCTCTTGTTTCTTTGCATACACATGTGCAGGGTTTGGATCCAATCTTTCAAAAACTGTGAGTTGGTGCCCTCTAGTGGCAAGAATATAATTTAAATTAGTTCCCTTTTTCTTCTCTATCACACTGTTTAGTGCTAAAATTCTAATGTTAGGAAGCCTCTGCATGCGGGTGGCTGTTTTTTGGGGTCTCCCAGCTTTATGTTTCAAAAACACAACAACAGCGCCACCTAGAGGTTAATTTTCTTCCACAGATTCAGCAGCACATAAAGACTGTCTCACATGGTGAAAACTGCAGAAAACACTTAACTACATCAGTCAACTACGGTTTGCTCTCAGTCTATATACTGAAAGAAGTGGAATTAATTTATTCAGTTGTGCAACTCAGTAAACAATGCATTAAATGAAAACACTTTCTTACAACAAGAATAAGATATACAATGTCAGAATATGTCAGAATCTGTACTCGAAAAGACAGTGAGTGTGGAGGCTTCCAGCACATTTCAATCAGCTTTCTGCTCTTTTCTATTAACTGTCACCCATATTACAAACCCCACCTCCAGTGAAGTTCAGACGTTCCACCTAAATTCACCTGAATCCTCTCCAAAGATATTTACTGTTCAAACTGAAAAACTTGATTTTTTTTTGTAAATATTCACTCATTTTGAATTTGGTGCTGTAAGACATTCTTAAAAACCTGGTTCAGGGTCCTGTTTTCCACTGTACTTCATCACCTTTCCTTTAACAACACTCAGTAAGCCTTTGTGAACTCAGGACACTAACTGTTGAAGCTTTGGAGGTGACTTCTTCACAGTCTTGATTAATGGACCACTTCAGCTGATCTACAGTCTGGGGTCTCAATTGTGGTATTTTGGCCTGCTCCACTCATTTTCAATGAAAGACAGGGCTGAACTGCAGGCAGGCCAGTCGAGTACCTGGACTCTGAAGTCCTACCATTATAACTCAAATGTGTCTCTGTGTGTTCTTGCTGAAATTGTCAGGGACGTCCCTGAAAAAGCCATGGCTCTAACGGCAGCAGATGTTGCTCCTAAACCTGTATGGGCCTTCAACATTAATGGAGCCTTTACAGAGGTGACAGTTAGCCGTTGACACTAACACACCCCCTAGACCATCACAGACTCTGGCTTTGACCTTTGACCTGAGAACAGTTGGGATGGTCCTAAAATGTGGACTTGTCAGACCACAGCACACTTTTCCATATCAGATGAGCTTGGGTCCAGAGAGACCAGCTGTGTTTCTGGCTGTTATTGATATCTGTTTTTGTCTCTGTATGTTAGAGTTTAAACTTTTAGATGTTGAAATGGACCATGTTAACTGACAATGGTTTTCTGAAGTCCTCCTGAGCCCACATGGTAAAATCATTTACAGAACAGTGTGGGTGCTGTCTGAGGGGTCAAAGGTCACAATCACTCGGTTTTGGTTTTGGGTCCTGCTGCTAATTCTGATTATTTATGGACTGTAGGTGATCAAATCTCTAAATTCCTGCAGTTGTACATTGAGAAACATTGCTCTTAAACTGTTCAACTATTTGCTCACACAGTTGTTCACAAAGTGGTGAACCTGGCCCCATCCTTGCTTGTGAAGAACTGAGCCTTTCAAGGATGCTCCTTTTGTACTAAATCATGACCCTCACCTGTTTCTAATGAACCCGTTCACCTATGGAAGGATCCAAACAGGTGTTTTTGGAGCAGTCCTCAGTTTTCAGTCTTTTGTTGACCCGAAACCAGCTTTTTTAGGAACGTGTTACAGCATCAAATTCAAAATGAGAGAATATTTACAAAAAAATAATCAAGTCTATCAGTTTGAACTCTAAATATCTTTGCAAAGTATTCAGGTGAATTTAGGTGGAAATCACTGTTATCTATTTTTATTTAAATTTAACAACATTCAAACTTCACTGGTGATGGGGTTTGCCTAAAATTTGTTTTAAACAGAAACAGAAGAATCAATCTAATATATGATGTTGTAAATGACCAGAGTCAGTATTTAACGTCATTATTCCAATTAAAGCAGAATATTCTTGGTAGTAACTGTAGATCTGATCTACCTCAATCTGGGATGGGAAAATGTGTTTTCACATGATTGGACATTGATGTTGCTCAACAGCAGCTACACTGACCGTGCTGCCTACAGTGTCTGCAGATATCATTTGTTAATTTTTGAATTGCCCTCCAGAGCTGATGCAAATATTTTCAAAACACCATTGATCAACCAGATTTATTAATTGTTTTATTTCTAAATAATTCGCACGAATGCCATAAAGACACATACACAACAATGGTACGTTGACTTAGAAGTTGATTTCTTTATTAAAAAAAAAAAAAAAGATACAAAAGTCGTTTGTAATGATAGCAACATGTACACAACATGTGTCAAGTATAAACAGTAAAAAACCTCTTTCATTTTCTATCTGATTTGAATGCATCAATTAACAATCTCTGAATTATGAGACATTACAAGTATCATAAGTAGTTGTACAGAAAAGCCACAAAATCCAAGAGGCTTAAACACAGGGGGGCGCCCTAGACCAGTTCTTGTAGTAACTGGAAAATGTAGGACACAATTGAGACTGATCTCCTTCTTATAATGAACCTTAAATAAAAATGCCTAGTTACTTCCTCCCAACAGTTGATAAAATTAAGACATTAACTGTTAGTTCTCATAACTCTGTTTTCATAACAGAGCACAAATAAAAGACTCAAACTTTCATCTTTTTTACAATGCCATTACTTGACCCGTATGCTCTATTTTTAGAGCACACAATAACACCTTGAAGCTTCTCAGAAATGCCGGGCTAATGTATGAGACTGAACATGCTCCATAATGGCGGTTGGTAGTTCCTGGTCATTCTAAACACTTAATTATACGAATTTTAATCTGCAGGTCCACAGACTGACATTTACTGAGATTATTATTACAGTACAGTTTGTAGTTATAAGCATTAGTTGGTAGATTTGGAATATTCATGATTTTTCAATTTGTGCAGCATCACCTGTACATAAATATCTATTTGTTTTTGTCCATTAGAATGAGTCTTCTCTTTAAATAGAAGCCACCAGGGGGGCTGCCATCTTGTACCACAATGCTTCTGCAGTGGCACAGAGTGGACGTACCCCTAACACTGTGTCTGAACCTGCTGTTTGGGTCTGCCAGAGATTCACAGTGATTTGAATGCAGAAATACTCAGAATGCAAATTTGCACTTAATTGTCTCTTGATATGTCCTGTAGCATCAGAAAAATGCCATGTGAACATGAGGACAAAAAGAAAAACATGATTTTCACTGGAGTGGGTCTATAAGTGTGTCCTAGAAACAGTCAAATAACAGAGAAACCTTCCCAGGTTAGTTGTTATTGTATTTTACACTAGTACTTCCAAAACATTTACATATTTACTTGTGTCTTCTAAAATATATTTCATATTAATGTAAAATATTTTTATGTTCTGTCAAATGTTTGTATGTTTTCCTTTTTTTTGTGCTTTTGATGAAATGTATTTGTGTTTTAAGATTATTTTTGTTACCTTCTTGAAATATGTGTACCTTCAGCAACACTGTATATTTAGATTTGAACCATTTTATTGAACCACACCTTAAACATTTTTATTTTTGCTGTAATTAAGAATTTAGATGGGCGTGTATGTGACCTTAAGTGCTTTTGCAGCGAGCCCCAAATGGACACTTCAGGAACTGCAGTTTTAAACATTTGGCTTCATTTCTCAGGTTTGCACAGAGTACCTTTCAAAGCAGGAAAGGCTGTAAAATACTTTTACTGAGAGAAAAAGAGCAGTACTTTTGGAAAAGTGTTAGCTGCATGTTATGATCTAATGCTCTCCAGCTAGTTATTTCAAAATGTTTTCAGTCTTTGATAACTTTGGTCCTGCAATACAAACACCACAATGGTGCACATCTTCATTAAAAAAAACAAAAAACTTCTCTAGAGAACAAGACGTTTGGCTTCAGCTATAAAACTAACTACCACTACTAGGCTCTGATGTGCTTAAGATTGAATTTGATATTCCATCATTAATATTTCCATAGATTATTCCATGTACTTTTGTTCGTTTTAAAGCAGAGGTGAAAGGGTTTATTCCCTGTTTTGAGGTCTACCTTGTTTTTCTTGCCGGCATCGGGGAGAAACTTTATAATAACGAGGGGGAAGACTCGTCTCATATTTCACTCCAAGCAGACTCCTTTCCTATATAAACACTTAGGCTTTTACTTTGAAAACCGCTTTCCCAGACGCTCGAGCAGAGCAGCGTCTTCCCAAGGGAGGAGAGACAGGACTCGCGACAGCCTGCAGATCAAACTGAAAGTTTCCTGCAAAGAAAGCCACCGTATGGAGATGTTACCCATGTCTCTTAGACAACTTCCTAAGGACTGATCACTGTATTTAGTTTTACGGATTTAAAGTTTTGGGGCGAGTCGCGCGCGGCTGCAACTTCAGGACCACCGGCTGTCCAGTGTTCGCGTGGAGATCCTCTTCACAAAGTCTCAGTAAACGGGATGTGTCTGTGATAAATGACTGGATTAGAGTGGCTTGTGAGGAGAGGAATGCACTCGACCGGGGATGGTGAGTGTCTTTTTTTATGCTAACTTTCAGACAGAGCAGTGAGAGAAGTTTTTGCTGTGCAGAGTGCTGACTGTGTAGAATGTGGAGCATGTTGTCTCACTTATGAGTCAAACCCATCTGTAGTCCCAGGCAATCAAAGAACCAAGTTAACCGAACTTTACTGACATTTGATATTCTCCATGTTGACATTTCCTGAAGGTTTCTGAGACAGTGATATTAGTTTAGGCCTACCCGAGGAGGATGAAAGGCTCCAGAATAACCCCCTCACCTCTGTTTCCAAAAATGTTTAAAACTGGCTTAGGCTGAAGTTAACAGTCAAAATAAACTTTGGATGGTCTGCCCAAGGAGATATATCACTTAAAATCACTTTTTTAAGCTCATTTTAATAGAATTGTTTTGATGTGATGTCACCTGTTATTATTAGGGCCACAGAGCAAACGCACGGAGGTACCATTGCAATACTTTTTTCTTTTTAGTCTTCCAGACAAATTTTGGTTTGCTTCTAGTCTTATAGTCCTTGAAGTTGTAGGAAAAAAATATATATAAAAAACGTTGGGTTTGATTAGGATTGATGTGTTATTACTTTTCTCTGTTGTACATGAATTTTTCGGGACATCAATAATTTTTGCATTGAAGCCCATGGGACAAGCCAAAAAGGAGTAATCATTGGAGTTTTTCAAACATCTACTGCTCAAGCATACTTTCACCTAGAGACTCCATTGAAACGATAAAATGTAGTCACAGGTCTTGTCTATTGGTGTATTAACCCACGTTTTGATAGATATTGTAGTTTTTAATCTCACTGTTCAATGACCATGATCATTTTGGGAGAAATTTTGAGATTATAATGAGTGTTTACTGTGTGGAATCTACTTGTCAAAGTGGGTGACATCATCGGCTAGAGTGAGAGAAGTTTCTTTAAACTGTCTGAAACTTTTCTCTTTCCACGTTCCTCCCAGCCAGAAATGACACTCTACGCACATGGTTTTTTACCAGAGTTGGAGGGTGTTTAAACACTTGGTCCCTTTCAGCCCTCTAAATGAACTCAGATCAGTGACTCGTCATTTTTTGTCTGTATCTGAACACTCCATCTGTAATCAGACCCCTTTACAACGAACCGAACTGAGACCACCTCTCAGCACGGTTCACTGAAAAGTCTGTGGTATGGTTAATCGAATCTTCTCATTGTGAATACAAAGCGCACCAGGTTCACTTCGCCTTTTTGCACTGCATTATAATTTATAACCTTGGAGTTGAAGACCATACTGAATGTCTTTTGGAAAATTTGAATTATGAGAGCATAAAAGAACAACTACATATGACCCACCATAATGCAAAAGTCTTTCAAGAATTTTCAGAGAGGATGAAAGTGGATGGTTTTAATCAAACATCTGTACAGTGCAGAGTTAAAGTGGGGGAAAAAAACAACTAAGACAAAAATACCTTGGCACTCTTGAAAAAATGCTCCAGAGGACCTAGTGTGAACAGAAAGAGGACTGAGGCCACATCAAAACTGGACTGAACCAGAAAGAGAACCCGGTCCTCTTTGAAATAAACTCACAGTGTGAACACAAAAAGAACTGAGTTCCTTTGCTTTTGGTCCACTTAGGGTGTTTTCACACTTGATCCCTTTTAAAAGAGCCAAACTCAGTCCTCTTCAAGGGTTTTTTTCTCTGAAAATTCTTGAAAGACTCTCCCATTTCAGTGGGTCACAGATAGTTGTGCCTTTATGAAATTAATTATTTGAAATATCTAAAGAATCTCACCATATCGTCCACACCCCAGCAGTAACCCCTATGGCTGTTTCAAAATTTCCCAGAGGGAAATTTCTACCTTATTCAACTCTTACTTTAACTTTCCTGTCCCTTGTTGCTTTTGTCATGTATTTGCTTTCATCCCCTTCTTATCTTTTGTAAAAAAAAAAAATACTTGCAAATTTTTATTTAACATTTCCTTTTGTTATTCTTCTACTCAGCATCTTATTGTTATTGCTTCTCTTATTTACTACTTTTGTGGTTGTTATGTGCTTCAGTTAATCCGCCTTTATCGCTCTCAGTTGCCAATATTGGTAATATTATTACCTTCTTTGGCTTGTGTTGCTTTACTTACTTTTGGATGCTTGAACCCTTTTTCTAAATATGATTTTATCTTCTTTAATTTCCTCCTATTTCATTTGTCCTCTGTTATTGATAATATTGTCTTAACCCATTTTTCTCCTCCCTCTCAGCTGTGTTTTGGGTTTCGTCATCTCTGGTCCTCAGAGTCTCAGATACTGTGCTGTCAGCTCTTGTGTTGCTTGGGTTCTTTGGTTCTCATAGTCCTATATTTTATGCTATGTTAGTTTGGTCATTTGCTGAGGATTGTTGCTGGTGGATTAAATTGGAAATACTTGATGTTATTGTCACTAAGGGAGCTAAGAGGCTCTCGTTCGTTCAGAGTCTGAACAGATCTCCCCCTGCATAAACCCGGTCAGCCGTGTCGAGTCAGTCCGTTCGCTCACGTTCACGTTTGTTCAGCGTCTGAACAAACGTGAACATGAGCGAACGGACTGACTAACAACCAATTAACCGAAATGAACAGATCTTTTTACTGAATGAACCAAAATGATTCCAGTTCACTGAAATGAACGGTTTTGCCCACCACTAAAATCTGATAGGCACATCTTTTAAAGTTGGTAGCCTTTTCATTCATTGGATTGTTGATGTTTCTATTGTTTCTGTTCGGTGTTTTGGTCATCAAAAAGAGAAAAAGATCCTAAATTAAGTTATTTGGCTTAGAAAAGGTACATTTTATAAAGTATACTGAAGTTCATTTTAGTATCCTTCCCAAAGTATACTTTGTACACTGATACAAATATACTACCAGTGTATTTACAAGTAAATAATAATCGAACCAGTGACCACAGCGGGAAACACAGTCCCCAACTTAATCCACTGAGCTATCTGTGCGCTGACTCTGAAGCATAAATAAAATTACCTCTTGGTATGCTATTATTTCAAAGTAGTACATATTTGTATACTTGGCTTGTACTGCCTATCTTTTTCAGAGTATACTCTGAAAAAGATATATGGAAGTGTTCACTGACCAAGTATACTTAAATCCAAGGCACAAATACATACTTAAGTATATCTTGATTCTAGGTTTATGTATAAGTATAGATTAAATATATTTAGACTTTTTGTATAATTTTTAGTACAAGCCAAACATACATAACATCAACTTTGTTTAGTATATCTCTGAAAAATGCATAAAAAGTAAACTGATAGCATACTCTGTTGAAAAAACAGTATACTTGAAGTACACTTCAACATACTTCTTTTTGGTAAGGGAATACCAGCACATTTCATAATACATGCTGCAGGTAACTGCTATTACTGATATGACAGTCTTACATTAACTGAGTTATGTCCACAGATGGATTTATGTTCTCAATGTTATTCACAATTTATTTTAATCTTTGTCCTTAGTCACTTTACCTCTTGGGAGGGGGGAATGTTACGACCAGAATATATGACTGTTGTTTCTCCTTGAGCTAAATCTGATATATCCTCTTAGATTTAGAATCTGAGTTTAAGAAAGCCATTGTTTGTTCATAGCCACCGATCAAACCATACACCTGTATAGTGGGCGACTGAGGGGAGGTGTTGAAACCAGAGGGATGAAAGATGGAGAGACACAGTGATTGTCTGGAACAAAGTGACTCAGAAATAGACCTGTGAGGTTCTTGATACTGAATTGAAGAAACGGTTTTCAGTTCATCAGAGACATTAAAGTATGGCCTTACAGAGAGTAATATTTGAAAATGGTGAGCCCAAAAAAGACTGTCTTGGACATACTAAAATTCTAACGAAGTCTTATCACAGCTTGTTGTCCATCACCATAGCTGACTATCATCAAGGCCACATGTTGTTTTTGCACTGAGACAGATGGCAAGGATCATAATAGTTCATTTACTCATTTTATTTCATAAACAGTTTGATTCTATAAAATTGAAAACAACATTGACTGTCGTTCACTGTATTGTTTAAAAGAAAACAAGACCAGATATGACTCTAAAAAAGTGTTTTTCTAAAAAATAAATCTAAAACAAAAATCAGCCCATCCATCTCACAGTCTGTCAACAAGCAAGAGAAAAAGAAAAGAAAAGAAAAAAAAAGAGGAAAATACAATGCCAAAGTGTCTCTATACCAGTAATCAACTGGTTGTTTTGATGTATTCAGTGCTGGGTCTTTTTCATACAAAGGTAAACTTTGGAAACGGTTTGGTTTGAAAGTGAAGTCTTTGTGTTCCTATCTGCTGATCGTCTGTCTCTCTTTCAAGCCGTCTGTAGTCTCACATTTCAAATTGGTTCCATATGCAGAGCAGACAGACTCGGGTCTGAGCTGCCACATGGAGGGAAACTCTGTGCCCATTCCTCTCTTTCCTATTTATTTTTTTTCCTCATCTTTCCTCGCTGTTTCCTGACTGTTTCCTGACTCATCTCCTTATTTCTTCGTGTATTCTGTCCTTCTTTCCTCTCATAGTTACGATCTTTTTTTTTTAATTGGTATTTCTGACAAAAAGCCTCTGAAGGTAGAAAAAACGAATGAATTGTTTCCTGCATCACCACTCCAGCTCAGTGTAAATCTCAGGTTTAAGGACTTCCTTGTGCTAGGGTCCATGTTAAAATTCAGAGCTGGGCACACAAACCCTCCAGACCCACGTAGTTGGTCTTTGTGTGACAAACAGCAGGCTCTGCTGCTGCTCATTGTGTTCTCAGCCGGGTTTTCTTGTTTCTCTGCTTCACGCCTGTCCATGTGGAGGAAGGAGGAGAAATAGAGGTGCTCTCATTGATCAGACTTACTGAGTCTGGGAAAAATCTTGAAACTTTCTTCCTTCGTGGTTCTTATTTTCTCTCTCCCACAACATCTGCAGCTGAACCAGGCGGCACTATGACCCAGAGCTCTTAAACTGCTCTGAGATCAACTCTGCTTTCTGAAGCAACTGTGAGTGACTTTCAGTTCATGTCCATCCTGAAAACATTTGCTGATGAAAAGGTTTGTATTTTCCCGATTCTGCCCTCACTAATGTGTAGCGTCATTTGTCCTAAAATCTCACCTCATCTTTGGTCAATTAATGTACTACTTTATGTTAATCTTCTGCTGTAAAATTTTGAGAGAAAAGCTTTTTTGGCAAAAGTGTTTCCTCAAATGTGCTGACAGACATTAAAGTAACAATGACATTATTAATAATCCTCCAGATGAAGGGTAGACTGATTAATACTGATACCATTACTGATACTCTTAAATGAGCCAAGTCCTGATCAGTACTGCTATCCAGTCTTTGGTTTTACTTCAAAAAGTTGTATTTATGCAGATTTTTCACCAAAATACATACCTCAAGATAGTGAGTTATCTATAATGCTATAATATTATCTATAAAGGTTTTATCTTGTTGATGCCAACATTGATTTCAACACTGGATTATGATTTTCAACTTGCTGCAGCTGCCTTGAGTGAAGACGAAGATGGAGCAGCAGCAGCAGCAGCAGCGGCAGAGTTGTTTCAGGCTGCAGACAATCAAAGGGTCTGCTTTTTGATTTGATGTACAGTGCTGATGTGTTTGGCCATGTAGACTGTTTACCCCCTTGTAAGTTATTTATTTTCAGGGTTTAAAAAAAAGCAATATAAAATGGATCTGGTCATCCATCCCCATCCCTGCCTGTAATCATTCTCAGACGGACCAAAATAAAATATGAGATAAATGCGAATGAAATTCTCTGCAAAAATGTCATTAAATATGTTGCTATTTTCTAAAGATGTGTTTGAAGCTGAACCCAATAGCAGACCAGAGGCAAAAGAAGTGTTGAATGATTTATTATCAATAACGGTGAAAGGAGGGAGGGAATCAGGGGTGTGAGGAAGCTCTGAGGCGACCCGAGGACTAGTGGCAAGTAAGCTGAGAGGGCAGGTCAGTGATCTGGTGCGAGAGTTGTGAGACTTGTGAGGCACTGAAGAAGAAAGGAGGAGATCTGGGGTAAGCAACAGGTTAGCACAAATATTAGTGAATATACAAACTTGGGACACTTGTAGCTGTTGGTCGTGATACCAAGAAAGAGCTGAAATCGTCTGAAGCTGAGGTGTGCTTAAGTGCAGACAGTGAGAAGTGTGATCAGGTGCAGACTTCCAAATCTCAAAAAAGAAACATGCAAATCACCACAAAATACTCGCTTTGCCAAAACTGCAACACTAAGACTGTTTATAAAAACTAGTAAAATGATTGGATCACTAAATAGATGAGCCTAACCCTGGAATAACCGAAACATACAGAAAAATGATCGCGATTTGAGTTTATTTCAAACCACTTTGTTTAGTATTTTGCACAAAAAGCCACATATCACCAAGTCAGAAGGCCATTTTGGTTGTCAGAAGCTTTTCTTGGTTAATATTAAAAAGAAATACCTGGAAAACAAATATGCTTGGATTAATGGATGACATTTTTCGGGAATTCATGTGTGTCACGTGAGTCGTTTTTTAATTAATCCCGTGATCGGGACGGGGAAAAAAGCAATGGGAGCAGGCAGGAGTGGGAACAACATTAATAGATGATCATTATCAGCCGTGTTAAACAACCAGATGAACAGATGCGTCCATTTTTGTAGTCATCTCTCAGTAAGAGCCAACACTCTTGACCGCGCTAGCAACACAAAAGAACTACAACAGTGGATTGACTTCCTGTAACCACCGGAAGTGAAAAGAGACTCGGAGCGGCTGCTGGTGTCACTGGGAGCGACTGCCGCTCTGAGTCGGCTGCCAATTTTCCCTTAAAATTTTTTATTTATTTGTGCATATTATGCACTGCACTTTTACCTAAAATAAAAAATGCTACGTGAGAAAAAACATGTTTTTTCAACATGTTTGGTTTTATTCAAACAGAAGCGGGACAGGAGTGGGAGTAATTTTGAGTGGGAGCTGGATGGGAGTGGGACGAGACAGGATTAATTTTTTTACTTCGGTCTGGGATTTGAACGGGACAGGATTTTTTCTCTGGGAGTGGGACGGGACAGGAGTGAAAATCCGCTCCCGTGTCATGCTCTAGCTTGGAGCAACTGATTTGTCATTTATTGTAGAAATGATTGGTGCAAAATCATACCTTCATTAATTCCATGAAAATAACCCAAATAACTTTAAATCTGAGGAAATGTAAGCCTGACTATAAACCCAGAGCTCTGACTATTATTAAAATTTTGCCTTAGGCAGCACACAGGACCAGGACAGCACGAAGGCATGCACACTTACCAACACACAATCTTCTGCACACAGCACATACACATCTATGTTCAGATTTATAGTGACCCAGGGCAGAGCACTTCTGGCCATGCTGCATTATGAATGAAGTCTCAGCCAGGGTCCCCTGAAAATCTGCAGCATCGTGCAGAATGACCGTAGGGGTATGGGGGTGGTACACAGGGATACTATGGCAACTTGCTCTGTGATTAATTATTTTGAATTTTCACTCCTAGTAAGGTGCCAGATTGCTTCAGTTCAGCTATATGCACCTTAATTGTCCAGTGATGATATTCATAATGTACATTATCATCTAGTATCTTCCTGTATAGATAACCTTTGCTTTTGACTTGTAAAGCACATGGCAGCTTTGGGATGTCTGATTTTCCTCCAACCTATTTAAAAAATTCATTTGGAGTGATATGCATGTGACACATATTTACTTTAATATAAGGCAGTGTCTAAAATGTATTTCCAGGTACAAATATCGTATTCTCTGGTTATTATAGTCCTTGTCAAATTTCATTAAAATCCCAATGTAGCATACTAGTTCATGTGGCTGCAGCTTTAACCGACTATTGGAGCATTTTCCGTCTGCACATTTTTAAACTGTCAAAGCAGCATGATCACGTTTAATTAATGAAACTAACAATGACTCAGTCCCTTTAATTGATCCCTAGAGCCAGCAATTGATTCAGAGCCCAATAAGGGCTCTCAATGAAATGACCTCACTGGATCACAGCCATTTTAATTAATGTTATTAATTACACCTCTGAAATGCCCACAGGTATAGATCCACTGATGATGTGTTTACATGGACCCATTCACAGCCAAAAAGCAGGGAGCATTATCCCTAGTTATCCCGGATTTCTCTCACAGATGGTTGATTGTTCCTCATGTAGGGATTAGAGGAATCTGTTTGTCCTTGCTAGTTTTCTCCTGGAGGATGCAGAGTTTGGATGAACGTATAACCACCTGCTTTATCACCTTCAAACATGGAGTAACAGATGCATGCAGAAAATGGCAAAGCAGCAGTCAATGAAAAGTTACAAACAAGCTTTCCTGGAAGTTTACGCATTTGTGTTGATGTGTACAAAGTGTAGCATGAATGAGAAGCTGCTGTCTGATGCTGTGTGGTGTTGTACGCATTACAGAACAATTGGCTGGAGAACAATAGAAGAGGTTTCAGAGCAGTGACTGTGTTTTCAGAGACTCTTTGCCTCCCACTCAGACTGCTGCGAGTTCAACTCCAGAAGAGACACTGTCCAAATGGCCATCTGCTGCTGGTCTCTGTGTGGAGGCAGCTTGTGTATTTTTGAACACTCATGATGTGCAGTGTGACTGGTTTGAGTAAAATGGGTAGAGGGTGGTGGAAGAGGAAGACAGACAGAGGTAAGGAGAAGAAAGAGAGGAAGAGAGGGGAATGCAGACAGGGTATAAACAGAGTGACACATAAAGGCTGGAATAAGTGCGGTAACACAGTGCTGTTTATAGTCTGTGCTGGTTTTACTGGATGTGTTACATGGCTCAGTACTAAAAGATATTTGCCTTCAGATCCCTGATGGCTTTTCTGTGTTCCGTGTCTCCTCAGAGCCTTTAGACATTGAGAGGTTACCTGGTGAAAAAACGCTGCAGAGTAACAGCGTCGCTCTCCTGTCTCTTTTCTCAGTATCTATCCATCTCTCTCTCAGGCACACAGAGAAAACACTTGCTGTGTGTGTGTGTGTGTGTGTGTGTGTGTGTGTGTGTGTGTGTGTGTGTGTGTGTGTGTGTGTGTGTGTGTGTGTGTGTGTGTGTGTGTGTGTAGGTTGATCCTCCCCACGGCTTGTATTTGAGATGGAACTACCAGGTTGGTTGCCACACAATAAAAATTACAATGGTAAGGGTTGTATCTTCAGGTGGTTGTGTGGCAATAAATCTAGAGTAAGAGGAGGGCCGAGCAGAGTTATGTGGAGCTTAGCTGAGGAGTAAAAGCCAAAATGGAAGAAATAAAGTAAAACTTTGAAAATAGGAAAGGTGAGTGTGGTGACAGGCAGAAGTCTTTGAAAATGGTTGTTTTTTAAATTATTACAGATTTTAAGACCAAAGAATCAGCCAAATAACTTTTTTTTAACTACAGCACTTAAAGAAACAAATCACAGGTTGTCATCTTTGGCTCTTCTGAAGAGAAAGTACTTACTGGATAGAGATAAACAGTGGTGTAAAATAACATTGAGCATTCTGCATGATGTGACCTACATGCAGTGCCCCTAAGCAGAGGTAGGAAGGCAGGCTACATATGAGCAGGACCATGAGCTGTTTTTATGAGGCCAGCTGAAGATGGGAAAATACTCAGGATCACATCAGGTTTTGGTCCTGACAGAAAAAAAAAAAAAAACATTCTTCATTAAGGGATGGTGTTTATTCAACTGAATTAACGTTCATTTACATGTGGTTGCTGGGGGTTCACTGCTGGTTTTGGTCTGATACTAACCCAAACAGCTGGATCTGGAGTCATGGTTATGATAGGCTGATCCACGTGCAGGGATAAAGTGATTATCAGCCCCAGTTGATTATCTCGCCAATATTTGGTATTTGGATGATTACCTTTAACAGTACGGAGGCTGGGAAGTGTCAGGCAATTTGCATATTCAAAACGAGAAAAAAACACATGCAAACAGCCACAACATGAACGCAAATAACGACATCGGAAGTGATCTTGCAGCTGAAACAGAAATCATTAGATTAAAAGAAATTGGAAGTTCTGTATTTATAGCACATGTTTTTGGCATTGAAAGTAAAGTAAACCTCATGAAAATCAGCTGAGAAATAAGCAAGATGTGATTTATTTTCCATGTAAATCTAATACCTTTAACGGGACTGCTGCAGGCACTAGCACTTCTACACACAGGGTTTCCCCTACTGACGGCCATGGCAAAATAAAAGCCGCCACACTTTGAAAGATAGTTTTTTTTTCTTACATGGCTCTACCTCATATGTATATGACTCATATGTAGAGTATACATACATGTTAGAGTGTCAACTCACACAGCCCCCCCCCCCCCCCCGAAAAAAATCACACACATATACACTACAGGCCAAAAGTTTGGAAGCAAGGCCATTACAGGCCTAACAGTTGGGAGTAACTTCAAGTCTTTGTTCACAATGCTTTTTTTTAAAATCCAGCATGAGTTTTATGTGTTTTGGGATGTATTTACACCATGATCAGATGTTGCTTTCATGAAAATGCACCATTTTACTCCATTTACCTTTAGATAGACATTGATGTTAACAGACCATTGCTAAATATATGTCAGCAAAAGATAATAAGGGCTTAGTTTTAGGGTTGAAAACATTTGCAAGACTCACAACTTAAAGGGGACCTGGCATCAAAATTTCATACCCATTTTTATCATTTTTTCATAATCCTTGATGTCCTCTGATCATGTTTGCAACATAATTTTAGCTGAAAAGTTATTTGATGGTTTGTTTTAGTATGCCTAAAAAACCTTACAGGAAAACCAACTGATTTTGGCTCATTAACATTTATGGTAATGAGCTTTGCTCTGATTGGATCGCTGCTGTGAAGCCTGCTGTGCTCTGATTGGCTCAGCAGTGGAGGTTCGGATTTCGGTTTATCCATTTTGCTAATTGTGCTAAAGTAAGGTGCCCAGATGTCTGTAATGAAATCCGGGGACATTCGGTGCGGCGGCGGGGAGGGTGCAGGGGCTGCAGGGGCTGCGTGATCACAGACAAAATCTCGGTGCTATTTAGTAGCAGCACATGCCCCTTGTAATAACCCCCGTAAGAACTGTTGTTCAGGACTGCTTACTTGTGCTTCCTACCAATTCGGCTACTGTAATAACCGTTGTTCGAGCCCACACGCAACATTTTTGCTCTCATTCATGAAACGCTTAGATCTGGGACATTTTCGGGGACAGCTTTTGCCGGGGACAGGTCATCCAATACGGGGACTGTCCCCGGAAATCGGGGATGTCTGGTCACCCTATGCTAAAGGCTAAAAATGGCATTAAACCATATATTTTAGACCCCGAGTCCGAAGAGGAGGTGGAAGTTGAAGAAGAAGCCGGAGATCGCCAGCGGTGTTTTCTCATTCATTCTGCCCAGCTTTAAGTTCATTTTCCCGGCAGTGAACCGAAGGAAACACCGGTCGTTTGGAAGAGACCCATAGCGGATACAGTGGTAGCTGGGTCTCGCTCTGGCTGGAGAGTGATGTTGACTGTGACTGGGTATGAGAACGAGAGAGTGGGTATGGCTCACCAAGGACGCGCTTGTGAATAATAATGAGCAAGGTCAGCTCGACGTCAGAAGGACCTGCTTTTTCAATTGGCCTGGTTTACCCGTTCCTTTATTTTAAACCTTTACAGAATGTAAACGACGTAACGGATGGTTTTCACATTTACAACATAAGACAAACATAATATGGACCTTATCTGACACAAAAAACACACAAAATTACATTTTTGATGGCAGGTCCCCTTTAAGTGCAAAAGCAAAAAAACAAATCACAGTTGGATTATTCACTTCAACTTTTTGACTTTTGAGAGTCTGCATACAAAAATCCTAATAAATCTCAACTGTGTTCAAACTACCACAAAAATGGCAAGAAAGAAGCAACTGAGTAAAGAAACAAAAGTACAGATTTGTACATTGAGGAAAGAAGGATACACAGACAGAGAAATTGCAAAACGCCTAAAGGTGTTTAACAAAGGAGTCCACTATACTCTGAAGAGACTAGAGGAACCTGGAAGTTATGATGATAGAAAAAGGTCTTGATGAAAGAGAGTTACTACAAAAGCAGAGGATAAACATAGCATTGTCACCAGTAAGAGAGATCAGCGAAAGACAGCACCAAAAATAAGGAAGGAAATCAACATGACAAGGTCGAAACCCATATCTGATGAGACGTTTGAGAAAGGCTGGTCTGAAGGGTTGTGTATCTGCAAAAAAACACTACTTCGTCCACAGAACAAGAAAAAGAGATATGAGTGGGCAAAAGCTCACAAAAATTGGACTTATGATGACTAGAAACAAGTTTGCACTGTTCGGTTCAAAACGCAGAGTCAATGTCCGCAGACAAACTGGTGAACGTCTGAAAGCACCATGTGTTAGACCCACAATTCAGCATGGAGGTGGTAGTTCCATGGTATGGGGATGTTTTGCAGGTGATGGAGTAGGAGATTTGTTTGAAGTAAAGGGTGTCATGAAGAAGGAACAGTACCACTCCATCCTCCAGCACCATGCTGCTCCATCTGGACTCAGACTTGTGGCTCATAAGTTTGTTTTGCAGCAAGACAAGGACCCTAAGCACTCTGCCAAGCTCTGTCAGGGTTACCTAGACAAAAAAGAAGAGGAAGGTGTTCTTCAAAAGATGGTTTGGCCCCCTCAGTCTCCAGACCTTTCTCCAACTGAGCTTGTGTGGGATGAATTGGATTGATCAGTCAGAAAAACACGTCCCATGAATCAGCAGTCTCTTTTTAATGAACTTAAGAAAGCTTGGAATGCAATCCCTGGAACATACCTTAAAAAATCTTGTGGAATGAATGCCAAGCTGTTGTTAAAGCCAGAGGAGGTTACTTTACACAATAGTCATGTTTATTGTGTTGCAAATTATATATATGAAACTATGATCTTTTTCTGTACAAATCTGCTCTTGCTTCCAAACTTTTGGCCTGTAATGTGTTCATATATATATATATATATATATATATATATATGTAGTACAGGCCAAAAGTTTGGACACACCTTTCCATTCAATGTCTTTTTTTAAATGACTATTTACATTGTAGATTATCACTGAAGGCATCAAAACTATGGATGAACACATGTAGAATTTTGAACTGTGAAACGTGTGAAATAACTGAAAACATGTTTTATATTCTAGTTTCTTTAAAGTTGCCAGCATTTGCTCCTGATGATAGAAGTACTTAGTCACGAAGTAACCCTGACAAGGCACACCTGTGAAGTAAAAACCATTTCAGGTGTCTACCTCATGAAGCTCATTGACAGAACAGCAAAAGTTTGCAGCACTATCAAAAAAACAAAGGGTGGCTACTTTAAAGAATCTAAAATCTAAAACATGTTTTCAGTTATTTCACACTTTTTTCTTACGCACATGATTCATGATTCCACATGTGTTCATTCATAGTTTTGATGCCCTCAGTGAGAATCTACAAGTTAAATAATAATGAGAATAAGGAAAATGCATTGAATGTGAAGGTCCAAACTTTTGGCCTGTACTGTGTACACACACACACACACACACACACACACACACACACACACACACACACACACACACACACAGAGTCTGGAGAAGTAAGTAAACTTCAGTTCACAAAACAATATATATATATCAAAAAGGAATTTCGGATTTAGCTGCAAGATTCTTCCCTTATTTGCATCTGTGTTGTGGCTTTTTGCATTTGTGTTGTGGCTGTATGCATTAATGTTTTTTTCTTTTGCAAAGTGTTTTGGATATGTATATCGCCTGACACGTCCTGGCCACCATATATCAGCCTGTTTTTTTACTGATGGCAAAGTTTATGAAAAACAGTGTGCAGCTTTGCTCTGCTTCTGATATGTCTTATGAACTAATAATACCTATCAGCTCTACAAAAGCAATACTGGTTGGCCCCTATCCATGAGGTCAGTTCATAACACCAGAAACAAAGACAGTAACAGATAAAAATATAATCACCAACTTCATCAAACACAATGTCAAAGAAAATGAAAAGTTCGACTGAACTACAAGGCACAAATAAAGCTCCCAACTTTCTCAGAAACTTCGCAGTCAAAGTAGTGGAAGACATTACACTCAATCATTATTCAATCATTACTCCTGGGGAGACCCACAGACCCTCCTGATGGTTCAAACTATATAACAGTAATTATTTAACCGCTCAATTATATTAACCAAGAGCTAGTCCATGCCATTAGGGATCAGCATGCCCCAGCTGCCACCTGCATTGCACCAGAATCCAATGCCTACCAGTGGGGGGCCCACAGAGTGGCTACTTCACATTATTTATGTGAGCTGCACCCTGCAGGGCTCTATTGAGGAGAGCTTGGCCACAAGACATTTGCTGTCCAGCACTGCTACTGGCTCCTGGAGGTTATCTCTCTTGTGGGGGAGGTGGCTTTTTTACCTCTTTGCTAATTCATAGGGGTCTTTAGTGAATCACTCTTAGTCTGGACTATAGACTGTATATCCTATGGACAACTTGGTTCTGCCTACCGCCTATATAGGGATTTGAAGCCAAAAAGCTCTCAGTATTTCCGGGATTTTTCTTCATTTCCTGAAACCAGTGCTGTGCAGTAGCGATGCGTGCATTCAGGCGCGCGGTCGCTGAGAGAGTCGCTGTGATGACACTCGTCCCACTCCTGTAGAATGACTCCCACTCCCATCCAGCTCCCACTCAAAATTACTCCCACTCCGGCCCCGCTCCCATTTGAATAAAACCAAACATGTTGAAAAAATGTTGCATTTATTATTTTAGGTAAAAGTGCAGTGCATATAAAAGGCATTGCCATAAGTTTTACATGCCTGACATTCGGTCGGTGTAAACAAAGTGCATATATATACAGTGGCGGTTCTACACTAAATTACTCCCCGGGCGAGCCCCCCTCCAAGCCGTCTGAGCTGCGCCTCTGAAATCCTGAGGGCCATTTTGAGAAGGGCCCCTAGATCCTGAGGTTTTCTTAACTGTTGAGGTTTACAAAAAAGCTGATATCTCAGCCTTTGTCGCAGATAGTTTCTCCTCCAAAGCTGCTCTCTGCCTCCGTCATTTTTTACTTTACTCATGAAGCACGTAGCAAGATCTGAGCATGAATCCGAGCGCTTTATTCGCCTATCAGAGGCAGACGGGTATGGTGAATTGATTCGCCACGACTCCAGAAATGATAAAAAATCTACAGAATGTCACAAAATGACGTATCCGCACTCCTGGCTTGACGGGTAGAAATGCGCAGCCGCGCTCCCGGTGGTGACAGGAAGTCAAACCACTGTTGTAGTTCTTTTGTGTTGTTAGCGCGGTCAAGAGTGTTGGCTCTCAGTGAGAGATGACTACAAAAATGGATGCATCGTTCATCTGGTTGTTTAACGCGGCTTAAAATGATCATCTATTAATGTTGTTTCTGCTCCTGTGCTTTTTTTTCCCATCTCGTCCAGATCACGGGATTCATTAAAAAATGACACCCATCCCGTGGGATTCCCGCGGGAATCATGTGACCCACGGGAATTCCCGAAAAATGTCATCCTCTAGGACACATAAACCTCTTCACATCAATAAAGAAGGTGATCTTCCGAGGCACTGGGATGGAGTGCAGCTGAGTGCCAAGTGGATTAGGAGTTTGATTAGGTGTGATTTCAGTTGGACCAATATATTAAGATGTTTTTTAAAGTCCAGTTGCAGTTGGACTAATGCAAGATACAATTATTTTGCTGTGTCCCCTCAATCTGCTCTCACTTTCTCTTTATTCTAAACAGCTCAGATCAACAAGAATCAAAGTTTTGAAGCACTAAGAAGTTGGAGAGAGAAGAGCAGGGAGAGAAGTTGTGTGTCTGAAAAGCCAAAGGACAGGATGAGTGTAACACGGGAGGCTGTAGCAATCATGAGTGCTAAAAACCACCCATTTAGAAATGGGTGACATTATGTAAGATCCTACGAAATTCAAGCACATGTCTTGACACTACAGAGGACACTGAACAAAGGCTGGAAAAGACAGAATGATTTCTTAGATCTGCAGCCTGTGGCAAAATGTAAGTGGTGAAAGAGCTCAAATCCATAAACTTACTGATTTGAGCTCTTGTACCACTTACAAACAATTTGTGATGTAAGCAAAATGTAATTAGAAAGAGTAAAAGAAGGTTTAAAACTGTAGCTTTACCCACATGGACCTTATGAGGAGTTTGAGTTTATCCTGCACCGCCCTTGGTGGAATCATTTAAAGCATAATCCAACAACCATCTCACCGTCTTCTGAACATACACTACAGTTATATCCTGTTAAAGGATAAATGCACAGCTAATTGAACTGAACAGTCCTAGTGCAGATGGAGCAGGCTTAATATAGGACTCTAAACTAATACAGGAACTGCCCAATGAAAAAAAACAACTATGACACTAAAAGACCACAGACCTAGAAGAAGTGTTCAGATACTGGTTTGAATGTCAGTTACTATGGCAACAATACAAGCTCTTGAGCACTTAGTCCTGCCCTAGTTTTATTTTTGTCAGCAATTGATTTTGAAATGTCACGTCGAGTTGTCTTCCATTGCTCTCTGAAATGTTCTTTCTCCGGCTGCACCTTCCTGTGAGGAGAGAGGAATGTACAATGGGAAACAGATTCAACCACATGTGCACTTCCTTTGCAGCCATATGGAGCAAGCATTCTTTCTGCTCAAAAGTAATTACTTGCAGAGTTGTGGCCTGGTGTCTGAGCATCATTCTACACACAGAAACCAGGAACATAAAGCATTGAATCCTTTATTCCTGTGCCAAAGAAGAAATAACATCAAGTCTGCTCATTCACAGCAAAGCTTTTCAGTTGAAGGTGAGATTGGTTCAGCACTCTGAACAGAGAGAGATGTTTTGTGGTTGCCTATGATACATTTTTTTATTATGAGGTGGCTTTGGGGAAATGGGAAACAGCCAAGGCCAGCGAAAAGTGATTCAGGGTTTTTCACAGGATGACATGTTTTGAAATAACCAAGAAATGGTCCCCAAAAGAAATTGAGGAGCAGTTCAAAGTTAAAATTAATCACCACGTGAATTCAGGGAAGAAGACGCTGGTTACAAAAAGCATTAAAGTGTGTTGAGGGATGGGACTCAACCCAGAGCCTATAGGGATAGTTTAGCCTGACAAAAATAGCCTACTCTCTGACTAAAAAGCACTACTTCAGATTGATGGTAGCAGCAAACAGAGGACTGTACTCTTGGGCTGTTTGTGCCTATTTCAATGATGCCTTCATCATGAGGAAACTCAGCACTGAAAAACTGCTTTTAGTGATTCTGTCAGCAGTCATCCTCAGGTCTATAAGCATAAAAAATGTTTTTTTAGGGTTTATTTATTGGAAACCAATATGATGTACATCAATAAACTGGCAACAGCCATCTGATTCAAGTATCATTGTGTTTATCGTTGATGCTAATTTAAAACATCTGGCCTTAAGAGGACTTAAGTGAAAATTAAAAACAAATACTGTGAATTGAAAGGGAAAAAAGAAAGGGTAAGATGGATAATGCATAAAACCAACCAAGGGGAGTGACTCAAGCTAAAAGCTCACGTTGTATTACACAGCAACTGCTCCAGCTGTCCCTCTATCTACTAACACTCTCAAACATCAGACTTCTCATACACATTTATCATTCCAATTACAGAATCTGTACTAACCTATGTGATGTATACAGACAGATCCACCCCCCTCACACACAGGCACGTTGGCCAGCTAAAGGCTGGATAGTCCTCTGTCACAGATCAACTGCTAAACTGACATCTGAAGGCGGACAGGTTACACAGACAAAACACACACAGACACAGACACACACACACACACACACACACACACACACACACACACACACACACACACACACACACACACACACACACACACACACACACACACACACACACACACACACTCATGAAGTAAGAAGATGGCTGACAGCTGCCACCACTAACCCAGATCAACAAATAGCACCAGATTGATCACATATGTTATATTATTATTAAGACTCTCCACAATAGTAATGGCCATGGAATAGTTTTTGTGTGCCACCTGCTGTGTTGTCCCTGTTACATCCTACGTGCAAAAATGCACTTTAACTTTGGTTAAAATTACAGGTGCATTATTCAGGATGGATGAATTTGTGCACTGTTCATGTACTAACTGACTGACTGCAGGGACTCCATTGCTGTGGTGCAGTGCATCCATTACATGTTATTGTGCAGTGGCTTTATAGGCATAACATTAGACTCTCAAATGTTTCTTTGAACATATTATTTCACCTCATGAACTGAAGTCATTGAACAGTGTGATGGTCCTGGCCAGGTCAGCTTCGCTGGATAATTTAGCATGATTTTCCCTTCAAATCAGGTTTCCTAGCACACCTTTTAGCCTTTTATTTAGACATATGTTTGACCACATCCATGCTAGATGCTAAAAGTGAAAGTACAGCGGAGTGTATCCAGCTGTATTCAGCCGTTTATTGGATGTGCCTGCAGTGACCCCACCTCCAGCAAAGTGCAAAGTGATTGGATTATTGCTTGCAGAAGTGCTTTCCTCATCCAAGTACATGGACTTGCAGGCACATAAACAATTTCAGGAAGGAGTTTATTCAATAGAAGCTAGAAGCACAAATTACAGGCATGTATTCAACTGTAGATGCCATACCAACCAGTCCAAACAGGTGATCTTTTTAATCAGTCTTTCTCCTAGACCTTTTTGTCAACTTCATTTCTGTAGATCAGTTTTCTTTATGCAGCTGCAGCATCAGATACATACACTTCTTCTCTCACATGTACTAATTCTGGAATCATAAATCTGTGTTCAAGCAAACCCAATCATTCATGTCAAAATAGATTTTATTTCACCAACCTTTAAACTCCTCCATTCCCAGATATTTCTTCTAAAACTGGCTCCAGCATGCAGATTGAACCTGCAGACTTAATCATTCTTTGCCGATTGAATTTTGACAAACTAAATCCACTTTTTATAATAACCTGCATCCTATCAGGAAAAAAAAAATACATACTTGTCTCTGCCCCACATCATCAGATAAGCAGTAAGTGGCCAAGGGGTCTTCAGTCTCTAAGTTATTATTTGAAAAAAAGCTTACTTTTTTCCACTCTTTGGAAAATTTGGCATCATGAGTATTTGACTTTGCCTAAGGACATTGGCAGTAGAATAATTTGACTGTTGTATTTTGATCTACCGTCTGTTTTCAGAGGATAGAGTTGCTGACAGGAGAGTTGTGCAGAGGTCTGCTTTCATTTCTCTGAAGAGGAAGAGCAGTGAATGGCTTCTTCTGTGTAGAACTTTACATTAGCTTCTGTTCTCCCAGGACTGTATTGAAATACATACATCTGAATGCAATAAGCAGAGACATGTCCTGAGGATATGCTGACTGTTTTCACACTGTACAGTTAGATGTATTTGCTTGTTCATGCATGTAATTTCCAACATGTTTCATTTCCAGCCGTGTGAATATGAAACTGTGTGTGTGTGTGTGTGTGTGTGTGTGTGTGTGTGTGTGTGTGTGTGTGTGTGTGTGTGTGTGTGTGTGTGTGTGTTCAGATCACATAACCACAGCTGCTCCATTGCACATTTATCCATTTATCTGCCTCAGGCATGTTCAGCCATGAGCTTTTACATTATTGCTGACTTCTCACTTTCATACATGATACAGTCCATGTATAAAACCATGTTATGTTGTGTTTCATGGCTAAAAAACTGAACTGAGTCAGATGACTTTGGCATAACATCATGCCTAGCTCTCCCTGCAGCCTGTTAAATCGACGTGCAAGTGAGACTACACAAGGCAATGTAATGTCTGTTTGGTATGAATCATAATGCACCAATGAAAAGATGTCCACCATTTTTAGAAGCAGGGTCTTTGAATATTATGTCTTCATCAGTGAGCTGAAACTGTGTCAAAGGGATGCAATGTGAACGGTGCTGATAAATTTAAATCTGACTCCTTTAGAGCTTTAACCAGTACATAGATGAAGCTTTACATTCAAAATGCTATTCTGATTTAATGAGAGCCACACTCCTGTTAAAGGTCAGCATACAATTATGAGTCAAACAAAGATCACATCAACATCCCTGTTTCTCCAGGGCTTTGATTATTTGGTTTACAGCAGTAAATAGACAGCGGATGGAGGACACCTTTTCAGGAATGCAGTGTGTAAATTATAGTCAGTTTTAAGTGCAGGGGTGGGGCAAAAACAGGATCCAGAAAAATGAAGCGAAAAATCCTAGGCTAACTATTTATATCTGCTCGGTCTCTGTTCCATGTACTTAACTGACTGACACTGATAATTAGGTAGAGTTTAAGCTGATTTCCTGAGAAGTAAGCTGAGGTTTTCATGCTGCGAGGCTCTCAGGGGGGCACAGAGGGAAGGATGTGAGGCTATTTGCATTAAGTGTTTTATTTAGAGTTTTAACACGATCATATTTGAACACATATTTATCGTAAAATCATTCTGGGATTTATTGTGAGTAAGAGTTTTTTATTTAAAACAACACCCAACCATTAAATTAACACAAATCCTTCAGAACTTGCCGTACAATAATCCTGGTTTATTTATGTATCTCCTTCAGGGTGCCGTACCTCAGAAATCATACTCCTGATTATTGTAGTGAATGTTGATTAGTTAAAACTATTATCCAACATTTGGCATCTGCATCACAGACATTTACACATCTTGAAGCCTCTTTAAATGTAAAAACTCAAGGAGAAAAAAAGCTTTCTTCACATTTCACATCTCTCTGTCTATCTAGGGAGTATCTGCCAAATACAAGATCTGAAAGGGTCATGTCTACAAGTTGAGCACGGTTTGGCCTCATGATGATTCCACCATGACTGAAGACCCTCTCAACTGGGGCACTTGATGCTGGTATAATGAGCTCTCATTGCAACTGGAAAAAGTGCACGAAGGATATTCCTATTTGTGTTGTATCCCAAAAGGACAGACAAGCCTGCCCACAACTAAGAGAGAGCACTACAGACTATAGATCATGCTTCCCAGGAAGCACACTTGCTTTTTCGTTTTCTCCGAATAGTGGTTTAGTGAAAATACACAGGGAAGGACAGAGCTGATGGTCACAATTTTCTCACCCTGAGTTTGTTTGTTTGATCTGTCTAGACAGGCTCTAGTCAAGTCAAAGAAGACCATTTTTGCGGATGATACTACTGTGTATGTACCAGGGTATTCATGTGTAGAGATACAGACATCACTACAGCAAGACCTGGGAACAGTTAAGGATTGGGTTGATATGAACAAACTTCTACTGAATGTAAAGAAAACAAAAGTAAAGTAAAGTTGAGTCTCAAGTCTTTAATTTTTTTGTCAAGTCAAGTAACAAGTTGTCAGAACAGGGACTCAAAAGGAGTCCCCATCTCTGCTCAATATAGAAGTAAAAACAGTGACCGCAATCAGTTTCAGGGTTTGTTAATATCACATTGCGGGTTCTAAATAATTCCATTTTCAACTGCTTCTCCCAGTATTTTGTGTGTTTTAATAATCTGCATAAATTCTGCATATTCATGAAGGCAAACTCACTAAATGGATTGCGCACGCTGTTTGCTCTTGTGACAGATGCCATCATTGGTGCACCCGGTTAGTAAATCAGCTTTGCGCGCGCTATCAAGTTTGCATGTGTTTTGTACACGCAAACCTTTAGGAGATCAGGCCCATAGACTGTATTTAATTATGATCCTAAACAATTCTGTCCCTCTACTTTTCTGTCACACAGAAACACACACCTGCCTCCTTCTGCTCCTCTCCCTGCTCTCCTCCTCCTGCTCCTCTCCCTGCTGTTCTTTCTCTTTCTACTCCTCTCCGTACTCTCCTCCTGCTGCTCCTCACCTTTCTCCTACTCCTACTCCTCTCCCTGCTCTCCTTTCTCCTCCTCCTACTCCTCTCCCTGCTGTTTTCTCTCCTCCTCCTGCTCCTCTCTCTGTTCTCCTTTCCTCTCTTGTCCTCTTGCTCCTACCCTGCTTCTCTTCCTGCTCCTGTCTCTCCATCCTGTAGTTAAAAAAAAAGGCACAGCATGATGTTGTGTTTTTTTTGATCCTATGAAGTGACCATCATGACAGACAAAAATCCTGTAGTCTGACTTTTAACACACACATGAATCTTAGAAGCACTACATACAGCATCTTTTGTGCACATCAACCACTCCTCATGCATGTCCCAAACCATCAACTTAACGCAAAACAGGCCTGCTCTGTGGAAGGGAAAGCACTCCTTATATCATTTTAGGAGGCCATTCTTTAGTTGGTTTAGTATTTAAAGTTACTTCTCTCTGTGGAATGGAAGAGGGTCCGACAGGAATTGATGCACACGTGACGACTTAAAACAAGTCAAAAATTGTTGTTGTGCTCACACTGTGCAAGTAGAAATCATTGTTGGCACATTGATATTAATGATCATTTGAAATTTCAGCAGCGGCAGTGCATGTAGGTGAATGTAGGGGAAACACTGGACTCGCAGCCATAGTGCACACAGAGCAGAATAACAAACAAAAATGGCTGAACGTGGTAAAGAAGACGTTTCTGAGCAGCTCCTTGCCAAATGAAGCTCCACATGAGGGATTTCCTTCAATATTGTGGTTCAGATGATTGCAATCAAGACAGTAGATTTGCTCCTACTGGTCACTCTGTGCAATAAGAGTTTTTAACAAATGTAGAAAATGTTTTCACATTTGAGACTTGTTTGATGTCATTAGTTTTCTCCATAATCTACCACTTTAACTTGTGGTTAAATATTGTATTTGACTTCTCCAACTGGTGTTTTTAAGACAAAATGAATAAAATAAAATATAGATTGGAATTATTGTATTTTTTATCGGGACTTTTATCATTATTGCCAGAATGGCAAATCTCATCGTCCCTAGTGTGTGGATATAAAAGTGACCTTAAAGTGCATGCTCTAATGGTGATGATTTAGTGAAGCATATGCTCTGAATGCAATGCTGTCTTAGGGTCATCTAAAAGTATAAATCTAAGCATTACACAATATAAAATGATGCTGGATAAAGTCTCACGCAGACCAAAGGTGCTCTTGTTTTGAGTCAGAGTCTTGAACTGCATGATGAACAACTCTGGTTACCAAGCAACAGTGTAGGACAGTGGAAAAATTCAAATTGTGTGCACTGCTATCTAAAAATCAGAAAAAAAGGGAGAGGAAAGAAAGAGGGGTTAGTTGTAACGACGGGTTTTCTTGAGGGACCAGAGGCAGGTAGCGGAGGCAGAGGAAGCTTTAAGTGAATTTATTGTAATGAATGATGAAGGATGGTGTGAGGTCTGGGGTCCAAGGAGTTGCAGGGGGATCTGTTGTGATGGGTGAGGCGGTGTGTGAGCTGAAGGAGACAGCAGCTGAGTGGTTCAGGATCGAGAGTGTGGCAGTGGAGGCAGAGGTTGGGCAGACACTGGTGGCTTTAGGAGGCACTGGTGGAGAAAGGAGGACAACAGGGATTAGTAACTTGCAAAAAATTCACTAGAACACTCTTTTTTCAATACAAGAAAGAGCTGGCCGTGATACCGCTGTGAGAGCAGGAATAATCTGGCGATGAGCAGTCCTCAGAGCTGAGCCTAAAAGCAGGTGGTGATTAGGTAATCAGATGCAGGTGTGGAGGTGCAGGAGGAGCCAGTGCCGCTGAGGAGCTGCCCAACCTCTGTGAAAAGAAGGGGGGGGAAACTCCACACACACTCAAAATAAAAACACTCCACAGAGCCATAAAAGTGTCCAAACCTGCAAAATCATGAAATTGGTGGACACGGGCCCTAATTTAATTTTTCTCTTTTACTTGGTTAAAATCTAACAGCAATTTGACAGATTACCCATTTTATTGAAGAGCAAAAATCCACAAAACATACTTGAAAATGAAGTCTGACAAGACCAGTCCTTATCTCCTGTTCTCTGGGCTGGAGTGCTCATTCTACTATTAATGAGGAAACCTCGAGGAGAAGAAGGAGGAGGAGAAGAAGAAGAAGGAGAAAAATGAAAAAGAAGAGAGAGAAGGAGAAGAAGAAGACGCAGCTGCTCTTCCTGGAAGGCTCTGCTCATTTATTTTTCATCTTTCATGTGTTGTCATCATCCTCTGACTGCAGCAGAAAAGAAAGGGAGCAGTTGGTGAATGCAGGCGACATCTCGGAACAGCAGTTTGCGTTTGCATTTCTTTTATCCTCTGTACGTCCTTCTCCTGCGTGTGTGTGTGTGTGTGTGTGTGTGTGTGTGTGTGTGTGTGTGTGTGTGTGTGTGTGTGTGTGTGAGAGAGAGAGAGAGAGAGAGAGAGAGAGAGAGAGAGAGGATCTGACTGGTTTCATTACGGTCCTCTACTTGCTGATAGGCTGGTGTTGACAGCTAAGGGACACACACATGCACACACTCGCATACACCTCGTCACAATCCCCCAAGTTATCCACTTTGAATCCTCTAGGATTTTTTTCTGTTTTCATTTCCTATCATCTTTTTTCTTCCAAACTTTTTCATTTTCTTTTTTACAATCATATTTTTAATGGAAAAAAAAAAGTTTTCAATTATTTACTGACACAAAGTCAATAAATTTCATCTTTATATTGTCAAGCAAACATCAGTACGGTAAAAAAGAAAAGTGTAACAGCAAGCATGCCTCTTCTCATACAGCCAACTTTATCTTTTCACAGACACTGGATCGATACTTTTAATTTACAATTTGGGATGATTTAGGTCGGTTTAAGCTGTAAACCATATTTGAGCATTGTTTGTTGCAAAAACAACACTTCAATGAAAGGGAAACAAACGTGAGATATAATATTTATGTTGATAGTCTTGCAGCGTCTGGGAGTGATGCGTTTAGGGCAGCCTCAGATAAAAAAAGCCACATATGGGAGAGCAGGTAAAAAATTTGAGGACTTACCATAGAAGGTAACCCCAAAACTGCCCAGCACGCATCATAAAAATCTCCTGGATTTTATAATCCAAATGTTGGCAGGTACGGTGTAACAGCCTTCAGTGTTTGCAGGTAATTTATGGAGAGCAAAAGCAGGTGTAGCGCAAGCTGCTGTAATGACTGCGCTTCTTCCATCAGCTGTACCCTGAAGGCAAATGCAATCAACATACAAATGCAGCCATAAAAAAATGTGAAACTGAGAAATCTATCTCACCATCAAGAATACATTAAACAAAATTGATATCGGCTCTAACTAAAAAACATGGTGCCCTCATGTCTGGAGAAAGCAGTGAAAGTGTTTCCTGTCTTTAGGCATGATAAGTGCATCAAAACTGCTCTTGTAAACGCCCTCTGAAAGGATCAAACATGACAAAATGCCCTCCGGTTGCCCTTGCAGTATATAAAGTGTAAAAATAGTGCCCTCAGGATGCCCCTTGGAGATGTAACCAGAGAACAGTTCCCTCTGGATTCTCATACTTGTGGCTAAAATCTTAAACTATGCCCATCCTGTAAAATTAAAAGAAATAAATCAGATGTAATAAGGAGCCGTTTTTGTGATCGTAATTGACAATAATGTATCTTTGGTTGATATGCAGCTTGTACATTTTCTACTGTCAGAAGTTTTTTTTATTATTATCATTACTTTTATATTGGTGTTTAATTGTTTAAATAACTATATTCTATCATTGAATTTACTTCAGACTGCCCAGTTTTGAAGTCATCATGTCAAAAAACAACAAACCTTGTAAGAGTCAGGGTGTGATGTAAGAAGCAGATACATTTTTTGGAATTATGCTATGTTTCTCTCTTATGTAACCAAATTTCTACCACAAAACCTTGCATTATTATTATTCTCCAGTATACAGGGTATTACTCATTAAATATTCGAAATTCCTGGCAGAGGGCTAAGGTTTTCATAGTTTTATTTTCAGATTTCATTTTGGCCTGTTCATTATATTTCAGGTTTTTTTTTATTAGTTTTCAAGGCTGAACTTTTAGTTTAGTTTGTTACCTCTTTTTTTTCTACCATCACATTATCCTGACCTGAGTAAGATAGCAAATTAATGAGTCTGTATTATAACACCCACAGACATGGGTTTGTGTCCATATTGTAATAGAACCTGCTGAGCCCAAGGTGACTCTGAGCAGACTCTCTAAAAGCAGGTTAGAAGTGCAGTCTTTGGTTCGGTTCATGGTGTGGATTCACACACTTTTTGAGGCACTTGGAGATGGATCTACAGCCCTCTAAAGATATCACCGGTGATCAGTGCAGGGGATGGATGCCCCACACTAGGAGACCTTTTTCTCCAGAGTATTGAGGAAAAATTCTCTGACCAGAAGAGACTGACAAATGTCTACAAAGATAGTGTCATGTAGACTGCTGTGAAAAGGTACAGGTTTTGGGGTATTTTGTGGCAGTCATAATTGCAACATGATTTGTGGCTAACATGCTTACATTTTGACCAGCATTGCTCAAATGATAACAGGATAAATTTTAATTAAGCCAATGCATTGGCAAAAAACAAGGTTTTGAAAAGTGACAATACAGTTAAAGTTTAGAAAAAGTCAGGGCTGTTTCCAGAAATGAGCCAGAACAGTTGAGAAAACTGATCCAAACACATTTTATCTACAAAGATCCCACGATTACTTCAGATCTAAGACTGTGTGATCTTGCTCAAGTTGTCTGTGATCCATCTTTCTATGTCAGTGCAGGGTTTGGATCCCTCTGTGTCTGTATGTAAATCGAGATCATATCATCGTTGATTGGCTTGTTTCTCAACTACTAAAATAAATTTACAACATTCGATTACCATTCCAAACATGCCAACTCTCCTGATCCATGTGGTAGACCTCATTTTTTAAGCCCATCTCCCATGATGCTCTAGGACAGCAATTTCACTTGCTAATCTCCCGATATTAAGTAAAGGGAAGAAGATCGTGGCAGATATTTGTTGCAGTTTCTGGCAACTCTCGTCTGCCTGCGCGCGTTAGGCAGGCCGGTGATGTGACTCAGTCTCTCACTGGAGGTAGTGACAAGAAGAAGAAGAAGAGGAAGTCACTTGCTGGTGGTGTCTGTCTTCAGCTCAGTGCAGTGTTTGAACAGAGATGAATAGTGACAAAACTCCTGTGCATTGTCCAAGACTTGTTTACAGGCTATAGTTTGGCCTTGTTGATGTAATTTGTATTAATAGTCTCCTTTTGTATCTGTGTTATTTTAAATGTGCTTTCTTCTTTAATTGCATGTCTCATTAGAAGCAAAACTTTATCAAATTTGAAGTTCAAGTTCAGTGGCTGTTGCAACTTTTCTTTATGGCAACAGCCACTCAATCCTTTAGATAGTGGCACAGTCAGTGGCACACTCTTTTTAATTTGATGTGCAATAAATACTTCATATAATAATCAGGTCTAAAATACAAGGCTAGAAATGACAACAATTTATACGCACACTTGGTGAAAGAACCTTGTTCTTAGGGCTGAAATACTGATGAAAAAAATCTATCTCTTTTTTCACAACCCAATGCTGGCAAGTATGCCGTTGTCTTATTTATTAAGGACTCCCCAGTTCTCTTGCTTGTAATAAAGGTCAGCGCTGTTGGAAAAGTTTAAAGCTGAGAAGATAAATTTGTCTGAGTTTCTCAGAGTTTTTTTTTTTTCTATGACAGAGTGCTATGAAAATAAGTTTTAGTTAATATACAAGTCAAAATGAATCGAAGTTTAAAATGTGCCTTTGATAGTGTTGGTCCCCTCAGTGTCTGAGCATGCCCATTACTGAAGGGTTGATGCCCATTAACACATGCATGGTTTCTCTCTCTCAGGGGACAGAGTGTCTCTCAGATTGAATTAAGCCAAACTGTGTTAACTGATTATTCAATGAGTCTGTGAATCCTCTCTGATCAAGCTGGGAAGATATTCTTTGCTCATGTAGAGACTGTGAGTGTGTCTGTGTGTGTGTAATTTGTGTATTCATGTGTGTGTGAGAGAGAGTTTGTGTTAGATGGATAATTGAAGTGAGTGCAGACAGAGACCTTGTGACCCTCTAAATTTCAAACATTATTGTAGCTTTGATGGCTCTATTAAATCTGTCTCATCCATGCTACAGTGTGTAACAACAACTCCCAAAAGTCCTCAGTATCTAACCACCCACACTGTGCTGGACCGTTTATATAATGAGTTCATTCATTAGGACACATTACTTCTTCTCAGCTCTTTCTGTGTTTAAATTCAGAATTACAGCAGAAAGTACTTTAAATGTTGCACCTTCCTTTGAATGAATATACTGCTCCTGCTTTAAATCATTCAGATCACAAGTCACAGGCTCACTTTGGAAATGGTTTTAGCCTCACAGGTGTTGCAGATTATTACAGTTTGTTCATGACCCTTGGACTTTAGAAATTCAGTGTCATGCTAACATGACTTTGGTATGAGACTTGGACTCATCAATCAAATTTATATTTATAAAGTATCAATGCACAACCAATTTTATCAAGATGCTTTTCTGAAAAGAGCTTGTCTAGACTATACTCTCATACTCATTATATTTACAGACCCAACATCAATAGGATGGGATGAGTGCCATCTGGTAACATCAGACCCACCCCATCTCATCTTCATCAACCATGAGTGAAACACTTAACAGCATTTATTAAATTACAGTGGAGAGGAAGACCTCCCTTTAAAGGCAGAAACCTCCAGCACAACCAGACTGATGTTAGTTTGTCATCTGCTGAGACTGAGCTGGGTTTAGAGAGGAGAGAGAGAGGCAGATGAAGAAAGAGAGGGATGGACAGAAACAAACAACAACAGTACCTTCAGATATTTGGTCACAGTGACAGAGATAATGGAACAAGTATGTGAACTATTGACAGGAACAGCTTGATAATGATAACAGACTAATTTATGGAACATTTAAGTCAACAGGTCTACAGTAATAGCACAGCACTGAAAGCATTCACCATAGGTAAAATGAGCAGGCCTGCATCCCCATCAACAACTCCTCTGTTTCCCTCTCCCCTCAGGTCAAAAGTCTGGGTGTCGTCCTTGAAAGCACTCTGTCTTTCCAAACTAGTGTTGTGTCGTTCGCGAACGTTCAAAAGAAGCGAATCTTTTAAGTGAACCAAATCACTCCTCAAGTGATTTCGTTCGATTCAGCATTTTTTTTTTTTTTTTTGCAGCGCACTTTTTGTTACAACAAAAAGTGCATTAAACCCGCAGCATCCTATCATTGCAGCGGTTTGTGAGGGAACGGTGCATGTTCAGTATGAATTCCTCTAAACGTTCAGTGAACGAATCACTCACTGAGCCCAATTTACTATTCCAAACCCACATTAATGGCTTTACTCGGTCAGCGTACTTCCATCTTCGAAAAATCAATCGCTTCTGTTCATCCCTCACCCCCAACAGCACGGCCATCCTGGTTCATACTATGGTTACATCCTGCTTGGATTACTTCAACTCCCTTCTCTCTGAACTCCTCCACATCAACACTTCCACCAGGACTCTCGGGTCTGCCTTTTCCATCAGTCTCATTGTGCTTCCAGCCTGTCTGTCCATGGGATTCAGAGCCTTAAGCTGCTCTGCCCCTCACCTTTGGAATGGCCTACTCAGACTGGCTGCTGTTGTGCTGCTACAGAGTCCAAGTCCAAGCTAGTATGTATTTAACTTGTCATTTTAACTGTTCTGTAAGGTGACCCTAAGTGCCCTGAAAGGCGCCTATAATAAAATGTATGATTATTATCATTATTATTATTATTATTATTATTATTATTATTGGATCTTAGTGTTCTTATAAAGGTAAAAGGGAACATGAAGCTCTTTAACCCTTGATTCCTGTCAATTTTAAGCTCCATCCAGCCTACTTCATCCCCAAAACAGACACGCAGATAAAAGTTCATAAAAAAATCATTTTTTAACATTTTTTTTTCTTTTTTTGACTCATACATCTTAAACAACTTCAGCCCTAATTATTAAAAAAATTCAAATAAAAAAAAAATGAAAAATTCAGTGTTTTACCCTTGTTATGATAGTTATTGTGCACCATGTCACTGTTATTTTTAATGGTAAAATACACAAAATTGCCTTATTTTCCATAGAAAATGACTTACATGAAAAAACTTTTTTTTAAATAAATGGAGTCTGGGCCATGTCAGTGATGAGAAGTAAAATAAATTTTGGTGCATTTAAATCCTTTTTGTAGTGTAAATTTCCGTATTTAAGCTCCATCCAGCTTACTTTGTCCCCAAAAATGGACATGCAGATAAGTGTCCATAAATATAAAAATATAAATCATTTTTAAACTTCTTTTTTTGATTAAAAATATATATTTTACTTATAAATATTGATTGGAAAGTTGCTCTTTAGTTAAGTTGTGGATGGCTCTTAAAAGAGACTTTTCTGCTGTGAGCGCCGTGCGTTCAGGCGTACAGGTGCTGCAGACAGAGCCTGCATGGTTTGAGCAAAATGATATTTTGCAAAGTGAGCAGGAGCTTACCAGTCACTGGCTTCCGCCCTTGCAGATCCCACAATGCTTCTTTGTTATTCTTTTTTTGCCTCCTGCCTGGCTGCCCTCTGATGCTGCAGACTCTGCCCGGATGTTGGAGGCAAATGCAGCAGCTGCACCGGGGTGGGGAAGACGCTGCCGTTGAATGATTTGCAGCTGAAACAGCCGGAGGCCCAGCTCCTCCAAAAAGAGTTGCATCTGGCAGGTTCTTCCCCGGTTCCATGTGCGTTTTGTCAGTCTCCACAGAATGAAGGCGTTGATGCCAGACACGTCCAGAATGTTATGAAACCAAGCCACCGGCGTGTGGAGCATCTGCAGGTGTATTTGGAGGCAAGTTTCTCCGCCCTTGCAGCGGTTGTAATCAAGGATCATGGTTGGCTTTCTCTTTGGACCCCCAGACACCTCTGGTTCTCTGTGCCTTGTGCTTAGAAGAAGCACATTTTTCCTAGGTGGGGTGAGGTAGGACACGGCAGTGTGGGTCCTCGTGAAGGCGAAGATTGATGTTTTGCTCGCCCCCTGATGGGTGTGCAGGAGTTCTGGAGGGAGCTCAGGTTTGTTGCTGCAGATCATGCCGACAAGGGCCACCTTGCACTGTAGTAGCACCTCACCAAGGGTGTAGGATGTGAAGAAGTTGTCTATGGTCACAGTGTGCCTGTGTAGAGCTTCAGTCATTTCCAGCATGACCTTCCTTCCCTGGTTCACCTCAGCTGGCCTGCCCGGGTCCCTGCCAGTGAACAGTTGCATCCTCCAGGCCTAGGACGTCTCCACGTCACAAGTGGCCCAGATCTTCAGCCCATATTTTGCTGGCTTGCTGAGCATGTACTGCCTGAATCCGCAGCGCCCCTTGAACCGCGGGAGCTGCTCATCCAGGGTAATGTCTCTCCCCAGGTTGAACAGAAGGGGCAGGCGCTCCAGCCACTTCTCCCACACCATTTTGATGGGGGCCAGCTTTCCCTCCCTGTGCCTCGATCTCAAGAGCTTGTCATCGAAGTGGAGGGTGGAGGAGATCTGCTCAAACCGGGCTTGTGGCATTGTTCCCCTGGAGAGCGGTTGCCCTGTTTTGTTGTCCCGCAAGCTGCTGGTTGTCTCGTTTTGGGATCTGTAGACTTCAGACAGCAGCAGCAGGCCAATTAAGGAGCATTGTCGAGGTCTTTCCTATCTGTCCTCCTCTGCCTCCCCTGCAGGTTGGTCATATTATGGACGCAGATTCACAGCTGGGCATACACCCAGGAGCGCAAAAACTTTTCCTGCCACACATATCCCACTGTTAGACATCCATATCTAGTGGCATGTAAAGTTTCATTCATTTCTGACTATGTTTAGTGGATGGATTCGCCCTTCAAACACTCTCAGTCTATGAAGAATGAGTTGCGTGCGCAGCACCAAAGAGGTTAATATTATGTTCTAATGGAAGTCTATTATCCGATTCACAGGCAAACTGGGGTGGATGGAGCTAAAATGCGGTGATGGAGAACTACAGGTGACACAGAGTTTTTTGGGGTTTTTTTAGTATGAAGAAAAATAAGATCCCAAATTTGATACCCCAGTCTTTAAAAATGTGACTGTTGAATTTGAAGATCAAAAGAAGACCTTCAAATTCAACCCTAAATTTAATAAAGTCAGTGAGATGTGCTCTCTTCTCCTTGCTCTGGTCAGTACTTAAGCCACAGCATTTTGGACCAGCTGAAGATTCTTTACAGACTTGTTAGGGGTTCTAATAAAGGAGTTACAGTAATCCAAGATAAAGGTAACAAATGCATGGACTCATTTTTTCCGTGTCACTCTGTGACTGGATGTGTCTGATTTTTTCATTTCATATTTTTGGCCCACACTAACTTCATGAGTTGAATGTCATTTCCTCAAGTTGTGTGTAGACAGGCTGCTACAGCATATTTACTGACTGTTTTTACTTCATCTCCATTCATATAACCTGACTGTCAAATATCGCTGAGTTAAAGATCTCCTCTCACTCCATTTATAAAAAAAATAAAGTTATGTTATGTACTTGTAATGGGTGTACATATATACATGTACATGCTCTGCAGATGATCAGAGACAAGTCCCACTCCTAACAGCAGGAGCTTTCTGGGCTCATGAGCTGACAGCTTACACACCTGAACCACCAGGTAACTTTGGATCTACTCTAGTACTTAGGTCCGTTGAGTTTCCTCCTTCCTCAATGAAGCTCAGCTCATAAGGTGTTCTGTTTGTAATCATTGCTGTCAGAAGCATTCCTTCTTAAGTTTGGCTGTATTTTGTGTGTTTTTGTTGAAGCCTGCAGACACAATAAGCTATTCAGTGTGCTGTAGGTGCAGCCTTTGTGGATGTGAAGTAATCCATGGAAGTTTACGGATGTAAAGTGTTTCAATTCTATGTTTTCTGGACTTGGATGGTGGGGCTCTTCTCTGTTGCTGCAGGAAGGGAGGCGGATCGTTTGATTTCTAACGGGTCTTGTCGCTGACTTGAAGTTTTATTACTTTGTTTTCTGTGAAACTCCATGGTGCTTGTTGAATTTCTGAATTACTGACTAAATGTGGGTTTCTTTGCTGTGGAAAACTTCACTATCTCCTCATCCAGGTGATAGTGATGTTCCAGGTGTGACTGCACCTGTAGATAAAGTATTTAACTTGGCTAAAGTCTCACAGACTCTGAGCTATTGGCAGACACCAGTGTGAGTTGTCCAGCTCTTCTCCGGAGGGGGCTGAACCTTTACTTGATAGCTTGTTGGTAACTTCCCCTTAAATTCAATGTGTGTTGTTGCAAAGGAATCTTTTCGCTCTGAGAGTACAAACAGTGTCATTGAGATTGTCTGGTTATCCTTTTTTATCTCGCCTTGAGTTAAACAGTAAACACGAGTTGGGCTGAGGTGATGTCAGGTGCAGTCGTGTGCATGTGCTGTTGTCTACCATGCTCTGAATTAGGTTTTTCTGTGGGCTAATATTACTGGCTTGTACCTGTCACAGACTATTGACTTGAACAGAGTGAAATTATTTGCTTTGACAGCAATCTGCTGCCTCCTTCCTCTGCAGGTCTGTGACTGGCAGACCGACTGGCTCACCTCTCCTCCACCTCTCTGCCCTTTCCTGAAGCAAGCTGGCTGCGGCACCTGTTGCATGGCCTGACCTTCTGCTGCACAGCTCACCTGCAGCCTCAGCTGGGAGGAAAGAACAAAGAGGGAATTCAAAAGGAAAAGAGAGTAGAGAAGAGGGAGCTGTCAGAGAGTCAGACATGTGGCTTGTTGGAGCAGACATTATTAGAGGAGAATGAGAGAGAGAGAGAGAGAGAGTGCGTGTGTGTGTCTATGTGTGTATAGATAGTGTGTGTGAATCTCTTCGGGGATAAATAAAGTTCTTACTCTTATTCTTGTTTTCTTTGAAGAACAGAACAGAGAAAAGGGTGAGAGGAGGACCGAGACACAACCCAGACAGATAAACAGAGGGAAGGTTTGTGTTCAAGGTCGATGAACGTTTCATTCAGTCTTTACAACACCTATCCCCACCTTCAAATACTAAGGGCCTACTTTGATGTTTCAGTTACAGAAAAAACAGTTAAAAAAGATGCATTTTTTCCAACTTGCAAGTAACATGAAGAAAATCGACTCTGTATAAATTTTTCAACAACAGGAGAGAAGTATTTCAACCTATAAAGCATTTAGATATTTAATGAAATAACATTTTGTCAATCTTGATGCAAAACCTTCAGCAGCTCAGTCTTGTATAATGGCTTGTCACTAAATCTGAAACTTAGGGTCTAGGATACTGAAATAGAACAATGTCAGTCAGTGAGAGTGCTCTTAAAACGTTTCCAGAGGTATAGACAGTAGTGTTATGACTGTGGGTCATATCTATTGTGTTATATTTTACTTGTATTGAGTAGAAGAGCGCTTGTGTTTTCTCGTGCAACCTAATTGGACAGCGGCAGAGCACGCATTAGCAGTTGACTGGAGGAGTGGAGTCGTGTGGCAGGTCTGGATTGGCTGAGAGGAGATGGCAGTTGTTTTAAAGAAAGACCGCTGTAGCACAACAGTGATCTGACAACATGACAACTGGCTCGGAACTGGAGCCAACATAAACTTCAAAGTGTGCACAGCCCACAACAGTGCAAGAGGTGGAGGTGGTACTCGATGGTACTGTAGTGGAACACTATCCTTGTCCTAGTTTACAAGCACCAGGCGTAATTGACAGAAATGAGTCTACCTCCACTTCTGCTTGGCCATCTCCCAGTTAACCTACTACATCACGGACCAATCAAAACATGTGTTGGTAGGTGGTTATAAAAACACAATTAAAACACCATCACCTACAGCCTCGTATTTTTTATATGTTTAATATCACAGCTTTGTCTTTTTCGCATTATTCTGTCTGAGGTGCAAACATTGGAACATGTGGAGTATGTTTAGTCCAGTTTCAGTTTGACTGAGCCACATACATGAGCGGGAAAACTGACCCCCAACTGGGTTGACCAGGTTGGTTAGATTATGAGAAGTTAGATTCCGTTTGACTTCAGTCAGACTAATAAATCAGCAATAAATGATTTTTTTAAGCATCAGCATGTATATGTACAGAGTTTGACTCTTCAGTCCTTAAAGAGGAGTGAAGCATTCACACACCAGCATTAACTTCAATTCTGTTTTTGTCCTGGTTGAAGAGTCTCTCTCTAAAACTGTACTTCAACAGAATACGCACATTGTTTGCTTATCGTGCATCAGCATCAGCCATGAATGCAAAACGTGTGCAAAGGAAGGAAAACTACTTCAACCAAGTTTCAACCAGAGCTCCAAACAGAACCAAGGGTTGTTTTGTGATGTTCTGGAGCTCATAACTGATGCATCTGTTTGTCATTGTCATTGAATGTTCAAAGCTTAAAAACTGCAGAGTGCTTTTAAGCAATCTTTGATTTCAAGTCTTACAGTTGGTGTTCATTAACTGTCCCTCAACTCTTTCTCAAGTTTAAATGGACGGTTAATCCCTTCTTATGTAATAGTGGAACTCTACATGTGCAAACTGAATCCAGAGGGTGATTTAGACCATCAAATTTTGAGTGAAAATCCTCTAACAAGCTGTTTTATTTAAAGGGGAAGGAGTAAAAACAGGTTTGCACCACATTAAGCCTGTCTGTGTGTTTCTAAAGGTTTCCTATTTAACTTCACCCGACGTCATCACAGGAAACATGGTGTGTGTGTGTGTGTGTGTGTGTGTGTGTGTGTGTGTGTGTGTGTGTGTGTGTGTGTGAGAGAGAGAGAGAGAGAGAGAGAGAGAGCGAGGGAGAGAGAGAGAGACAGCCTGTAGCTGTTAGCTGCGACCTTTGCCGTGACCTTGTTGTTTGTGTTTTCAGAGGAAGGTGTTAAATCCAACCGAGTATCAACATCCCACTCTCGTGTTGACACATTTACGCCAAGCTGCAGTGAGTCACACATGCTCGGACACTCATTAGTGCGCTCCACCAAAGCAGTGTTAACAAAGGGAGATGAGCAATGTGCCGAAAGTGGAGACAGCACAGAGCAGGGTTAATGAGACTTCTCTGAAACTTTTCTGATATGCTGTGACTGCTGGGGATCTTTTCCTGTTCTCATGTCATGTCTCAACATGAACTCATTTGAGCTTGGATTTTTTATTTCCACATTGAATTTTGGTGAGAATCAGAGCAGTGGTAGTTTGATTAAAGCTGTGATATTTGAAGCAGTTGACTGATCAGATATTCAGTCAGGCTACAAACAAGCCTGAGTGTTTTTGTAATCCACATACTGGAAAAACACAATATCTTCAAGGAGATTTCGATTGTTTGAGGAGGTTTTGTACCCATGCATGCAAAGCCATTTGCAGACCTCAAGCAATTCCATGTTCTCTGATGCTTTCAAGCTTTTGCATTGGTGTTGCACAATTGAGATGCCAACGGTTAGAGCAAGACACACCAACCACTGTTTCATTGGTATCACAAACCAACACAAATGTTGGTATTCTGTCCCAGCACTTCTTATTCTTCAAAACAACATGTTGGCTACACTGGTGCTAGCAAGGAAGTAAGACAATCACTCACATTATAACTCTCCACTCAGAGACGTGGTTGTAACCATAGTTGCATCACTTTTACAACACTCCCTGTTCAGGGTCAGATTCTGGATCTTAAATGTAGTGTATTGGTACAGGCTCCTTTGGTGTGCTTGCCATGTTTGCTCTGGCCTGGTGTCCCTGTCCTCTCAGGTCAATGCAAGGAAAGCAAGGTTACAAACTGGATTAAAACTTTGCTCATAGACAGCTAGAACTTGCTGTAAACAAATATAAATACCAATTATGGACTCAAGAATTATCTTTGTTTGTAAAATCATTATACAAGTTCTGGTATATTGTGCACCTGTCAACCTTTTCTCCAGACATGAGAAATCACATTGCTGTGATCCGGTAAGTCAACTTAAAAAGGACCTCTATTCAATCAATTAAAATATTGATCAAGTGGTACTTAAAGGTTGTACGTAAGATCAAGACCCAACAAATCAATAATTGGATCACAAAGTTTCGACAATGCATCCCCATATCAATGTTTTTCCCACTGCATAGTTTAATATTAGGTTGCTGTGTGTGAAAACTATCATTTTTTCCAGCTTTTCTGAACTCTGCTGAGCAATTTTTGCATCTTAAAGTATTTCTAATGGTTTAAAGAACAAAGCCTAAACCCTCCAATTATTCTAATTTCCAGCAGGAGCAGACTACAGTGAGAAACCTCACTAGACTTATGACACCCAACATGATCAGAGCCAAATACTGTGTGCAGCTCTTCTATTTCTAAAGGCTGTTTCAGGTTTTGTTTGACAGAAAATTCTTTTTGTGGTGGAAAGCCTTAAAAGGGGAAAGGTGGTTTGAAATACAAACTTGAAGAAGTTTATTAAAAAATTGGTGGCTCACTGAATTTAGCAAAATACTGTAAGGGCTGTGTGAAGTAATTCTCAGCATTTGAATAATTATTCAAAGGCTCTTTATGCAACTTTAACTTTCAACTTTTGTTTAACTCTCCTCTTGTGACGATGCAGTGAAGTGGAGGAAGATAATCTGGCAGATTTCTGTGAAATCTGACCCAGAGGTGTGAAATATAAAAAGCCATTTAGAGGTCAGCAGAGTCTGCCAATGCTTTCAGTATGATTACATTTGTTTAGTGTGATTTACCCAAGTCACTCTTCGGTGCGTTCAATGGCAGTAAATTGCTCCATTCAGCACTTCTGGCTGAATTAGGACTACTTGGTATTCATTGTGTTGCCTCTGGAAAGTCGATCTGTGCGCTGCTCAGTAATGTCTCTTATTTTGTTTGGGATAAATTTATAAGATTGGATATTACTACATCTATTTGAGCCAAAACACACAATAATTATCAAGTTGAGACCTTACTGCTTCTTCAGTGTGTGTATAAAATGTCAGACTCCTCCGGAACTGGTCTGGTTCAGGGCATTCCAGTCCAGCAGAGGAATAATGGGAGCCTTTCACAGGTGGAGGGATCTGGGAATGTTATTAACGGCTCTCAGACGGTGAAGATGTCTCAAGGGTCTGAAACATTCCTTCACTCTGCGTCCTCCTGAAAGAAGGGAAAGATGAGGAAGGAGAGGGAGTGAACAGAGGAGGCGGGTAACTGGGTCATCATGCAGAGGAATAAAAACAGCAGTCTTTCACTTATATCTGTAGGTCACCTTTAGGTGAGGATGAAATGAGTCAACAAATACAGCTTCCTGGTTTAGTCAAGTTTCAGGCTCTTTTTGGCACTATTCCAATGTTAGGAGTAAGAGGAAGTTTTATTACTCAGAAACATGGGACTCTAGTATGTTTAGCTTTCTATTGAACCTGAAGTGCAGTTTAAGGAGGTGAACTACTGGCTTATTGTTGCTTTATTGGTAAATGTATGTGTTTCAACATGTTTGTTTGAGCAGTAGTTTATTCTATATTAGAAATAGACTAAAGTCTGCATTCTGTGAATGGCCAGCAGGGGGTGACTCCCTGTTTTACAGGGAAATCTGATGGTACAGATGTCTGTGGTTTGGATGTAGTGCTGGTAATCAAAGGAAGAATATCAAAATATCCACGGCCAAGACACTGAATGGCAGAATTAATCATGAGGGCTGTCTGTGGGCTGTATAATAATATGGACAACATGTCTTTATCCCATCCCACTGTTAAAAATAATGAGGGCAGATTACCATCTCCATGGTCTCTGAAAGTGCTGCCAGTGAAGTATTCTTACGGTGTGTGCAGTAGAGAAATGAACTATAAAGACTCAACCAGAAAAACGTTTTTGCACCAGGCTGTAAACATTTATATTTTTGCTCTTTTGAATGGCTGTGCATGTGGCTTTCAAGGATTTTGCACCCAGCCTGAAGTGGACAAACAAGGAATTGCAATTTTTAGCACCTTGGTATCTGCTTCAGCTGTTAAGCCTGGATAATGATTGAGGCAAACATAAACAAGCAAAGCTTTTCTAAGTCTTGATGCACAGAGCTGTCTCCTTGGATTTTCAGCATGGGGTTGAAGAAGTTCCTCAGAGTTTCTCTTTATCAGTCCTTAAACAAATTATGTTTATAGTCAAGTGTTTACTTCATCCACCTTCTTCAGTTTTGTACATTTCTCTGTTGTGGCCTGGAGTTCTTTCAGCACACTGATATGATTACTGTTACATTCCCAGATTCTCCCTGCCAACAGTTTGTGCTGTGTTGCCGTGTTAAAACCAATTGGAACAAAATTCTTGATTCAGAAGCACTTCAAGTTAAACACATGAATAGGCAGTTTTGTAGTTACCATCTGTGTTTTTATCTCTTTGTACATCCTTTGTTATACGCAGAATATTTATTCTGGTTTCTATATGTGGTCCCTGTAGTATTATTCAGTGCTGCTTCAGTAGGAATTGGCTGTACTCAGGAAACCAGTCCCATGGACATAAAAGGGGCCTGTCTCATCAGCTATAGAGCAATTTTGGAAGCCTCTGGAGGTAAAAAGGCCTTGAAACAGTTTCTCTAAATAGACATCGGCATGGGACATATCACAAAAGATTTCCCTCCCTATACAGTGGATGTTGTGGGATCCCTGAGCCATTCGGACCAAAGTCAATTTTTTAACCGGGCTGTAAACGTGTTTATTTCCATGCCAAAATTAAAATAAGTCTTTTTTTGGATCAGTGTTTCCAGTGCTGAAGTGGACAGTTCTGACCTGCAGTTTTTAGCACTTGTGCATCAGCTTCATTTCTAAAGACCCAACGTTGCTACTTGGTTTTATGGTGTGTGTGTGACAGGGTGGGAGCTGAAATGCACTGTATTAGCAATAGACAGTTGAACAACTGGCTGAATAATGAGGCTGATTTATGGCATTTGTACAGTCGGCATCATACCAGCATCTGCCTTCACAAGGTCCATATCAACATCATTTTTCCAACTGGAAACACATTTTTCATCCGTATGCATATCCGTAACAAATCTTTCCACTGATTTGTTACAAATCTGTCTAAAAAGTGTAAAGGTTTTAGTGCCAAACTTAAGACTCCAAAACACCAATACACACACTGATGCATTTTTTTGAGAACCCTTATCGGTTCAGTGATTTGGAGGTCAGTTCATTAGGCTTCAATTCAGCGGTCTCTGTCACAAGGCATTAAATAGAGGAGGTTTATAATATGCCAGGTCCTAAAGAGCCTGACTCATCAGTGCATGAAAAAACAGCACTCAGACTTCCAGCAGCAGGATGGCTTTAATGCAGCCCTAAATTAGTATTCTGTAAGCCATATTCAGGCAGTGACAGAATATTCTGTGATATAGCTTTCCCTGTGCGTGCAGAACGCAGCACTGAATTATGGGCATGCCAAAATCATATTGGTCTCAGCTGGATAAGTCCAATTCTGCTGTAAGCTACTGGAAACACAGAGGCGGCTGAAACAAGCTCTATATTCTGGTGCTTCCATATTCAGATCTGTGCAGCTTAAACTGGATGTTTCAGCTCGCCTCTCTCTTTTGTCAGTGGATCCCTGCTTTTCTCTTTTATTTCCATTTTGGGAAGTAAACACTGAAAAGGTCACACATCACCATCGTGATATCATAAAAGAAAACAGTGTGACGTGCCAAAGCCCAGTTTGTTTTTCCTGCTCCCTTCCCCTCACAGAGTGTGAATCATGGACACGTTTTCTTTCTCATGCCTGGAGCCAAGAGGGTCCAGCACAGCCTCAAGTTAACCCTGCAGAAATCTGATCACAGTTCTGTTCAGGATAAATGCTGTCTTTGCAAATTACAGTGCTGCTCCATGTAATCATGGTTTTGTTGGTCTTCCTCTAACTTGTGATTCTGCCTTTCTTTCTTTTTTTGTCTCTTGTTTTTCTTCAAGGCCTGGCGAGTGTGGTCGAAAGTCTGCTGTGGTCAAAAATGGCTTCTCTTCTTGTCTCCACTCTTTCTTCTCTTCCTCACAATCACTGTGATGGCAATGACTCTCCCCCTCCCTTTGCCGACCGCTGACATTGACCTGCGGGTGCCCCGAGTCCTGAGCTCTGCAGGGGAGTTCAGGTCCAGCCCCAGGATTGTGGATCTCCCTCCTGTTGTGTCTGTCCAGCAGCCTCTCACTCACACCCACAGTGAGGCCTGGAAATCCAGCTCTCAGAAAGACACGACTCACCCTTCAGTGGTGCCTCAACATTTCAGAGACGCAGCTGGCAATGACAGAAACAGCATCAGAGAGAGAAGTCCTGCAGACTCACACAGATATAAACACAGAGGCAAAGACGGTGCTTTTCAAAGAAAAGCAAGCGCAGGCAGCCAGAAGCCAACCCGTCATCACCGTCCCCACATCCCAGTGTTTACCGTCTACAACACAGGCCCAAAGTATGGAAATAAGTCTAGCAATCACAGTTCTGCACAGACATACATTCATCTGGAACACAGCAAACCCTCTGCGGCAGGAATATCAGCTCCAGCAGAGACTCCAATAAGTGACAGAGGAGAGGCAGGCCACAGACACAGACAGGCCGACAGATGGGAGGAAAGAAACACAAACATGAATTCAGACACACAAATACAAAGCAGCCATACAAGCGCAGAGCTATCTGAACATCACCAGGCTCCGAAAAAACACAGACAGCTCTCTGGGAAATCTGACAAAGTCAATAAGGAGAAGCAGGCTGTGAAAAAGCCCTCAAGGGATCTGGAGGAACACCGTAATCTCCCAGAGGATCCCTCTGAAGCAAAGAAGAATCCTGGGCCGCCAGACCGAAGAAAATCCTTGTCCAAAGTGGAGACGGCCACGAAGAGAGATGACAGCAGCTGGTGTCAAAGCTTTAAAGAGCAGGACTTCACAGGCACTGACCAGAGGAGGATCAGGATTAGTCCAGATCCTCAGTCTCTACCCTGGCTCAGCAAGGATGACATCCAGAAGATGGAGCTCCTTGCAGAGGGAGAGGTGGTCAGTAAAGCCCGGGTGCCTGCACATGGACAGGTGCTTCAGGTGGCATTGGATCCCCCTGCACATGACCAGGTACAAAATTCAACTGCTGTCATTCACAGGGAATTATCTGATATTGACCATGATATATAAACATGATGTATTTGATATCCAGTGAAATTATTCACCTGCTATTCTTGAAATGTTCACATGAGTCAGTTAAGCTGTTTGCTGTGGAGGATTCAGCCTTTGGAGCAGACAGAGAGGAAGAAGATGTGTCAGAGGAAGATGGAGGTGAAGAGGACAGGAACATGGAGATCTTTAAGTGAACAGAGAGAACAATGAAGGGAGAACAGAAGAAGGGGAAGACAGAGAGTTTCACCAGAGGACCCAGGTCTAACAGAGATGAACCGAGATCAGACAGAACCAGGATGGGACCAAAGTATCTTACTGAGGAAATATGACATTTACTTAGACCTGATTTTAGGTGTTTAACACAAGTGACAGCTGTTTAAAGCTATTATGGACTGTTTATATAATGGAGATTGATTATTGGCCTCAGCTATAGTGATGGGACTCAGTAAGATATATTCATAGCTTCATCTCTGCCTCTAGCCATGTGAGTTTTCTCTCAGTCCTTTACTAAACAACTGTTTTTCATCAAAAGTGTCCAAACAAGTCAGGACACAGAGCTGTCCTTTTATTTGTCCCGCTCTGCCAGGTTGAAACAAGATGGATTTTATCAACTGAAATACCAAGCTTGTCCCTCAGCGCTCTTTAAGGTCGCTTTCACACCTGACCAAGCGGACTTGGTTCGATTGGGGAGCTGAAAGTTGCAACATTGTTGCATTTATCACTTGTTTCAGTTCTGCTTTCACACTGTGATTTCTAAAGCGCACTGAACTTTCCAAGCAGCATCATGTGGTTGAAAGGAGCACTCGTCGATTGTACAAAGTATGAGGGGTATGTAACCTCACGGATTACAAACAGGGGTGGACTAGCCGTCTTGTATCGTGCTTCGTCACATTATTTTATGGAATGCTACAACGTTAGTGAACGCAACTGTTCCTATAATGCTACTGTAGCTTGTCAGGGATTGATCCTGTTATGTTTTAACTTTGACGATCTAACATGCGACAACATATGAGTTTAGAGTTTAGAGTTTAAGGACTGTGACTGTTGGTAGCTGTGATTCGATTTTGTTTAAATATGCCAAATTGTGAATTTATGGGTTATTGTTGTTCAGATAATTGAGCTAAGCTAGCTAGCAACTGCTACTGTCAGCGGTCACTTGTTGCCATAGCAACAAGGGATGGCATGCTTCCTCTACCCAAGATGCACTGCGTTTGCACTGCGTATAGCGTCATTACATACATTTGGTCCTGTGTTTGGTCCGGTGAGTTTTCACACTGCATACGAACTGAAACAGGGTTCACTTGCAAGCGAACAGAGACCCACGTTTTCAGCCAGACCAGAGTTCGGATGAACTTTCACACCAGAGCTGTTTGGTCCGCTTTAAACGGGCCAGAGCTCGTTTCCTCGGGTAGTCTGCTTCGTTTGGGCAGGTGTGAAAGCTCATCTGAACTCTGGTGCGGACCAAACAAGCGAACTCTGGTCCGCCTGAAAACGTGGGTTTTGGTTGGCTTGCAAGTGAACCCTGGTTCCGTTCGTAGGCAGTGTGAAAGCTCACCTGACCAAACACAGGACCAAATCTACGTAATGACGCTATACACAGTGCATACGTAGTGCATCTTGGGTAGAGGAAGCACGGCGTCCCTTGTTGCTATGGCAACAAGTGTCCACTGACATTAGCAGTTGCTAGCTAGCTTAGCTCAATTGTCTGAACAGTTTAATACCTGCCATTTTTAGCCTTTAGCATAAGGTGACCAGATGTCCCTGATTTCCGGAGACAGTACCCGAATTGGATGACCTGTCCCCAGCAAAAGCTGTCCCCGAAAATGTCCCTGATTTAAGCGTTTCATTAATGAGAACAAAAATGTTGCGTGTGGGCTAAAACAACGGTTATTACAGTTACAAGTAACTTGTAGGAAGCACAAGTTAGCAGTCCTGAACAACAGTTTTTACGGGGGTTATTACAAGGGGCAATGACAACTTGACAATTTCCTTAAAGGGATATTTCAGCATTTTTGAAGTTCAGTTGTATGAGTTCCATGCCAACAGTAAGTGTACTAGTTACAATGAGCAACAAATGAGATTCCTGATGGCTTTGCAAAGTGCTGGAACAATTTGCAGTTCACAGTTGAGTTGTGGTGTCTCCAATAGTAAATACTCAGCTGTTTTCCATTCTATACTGTCAAACTTATTATTCAGCAGTGTTTGTGCATGGAGAAGATTTTACAGGTCAGGCAGGTCTAACAGAGCCCGGGTCAGCACAGTAACTTGGCCTTAGTAGTAGTGTTGTAGTTGGAGAATGAAAACAAACAATGGATCAGCACCAGATCAGGTCAGGTTAATACAGTCAGGTCATCACTACAGCACCAGGTTTCCAACACTCAGTGTGATGTGGGTACAAGCTCTCACTTTTCAATGAAATGGATAAAGTTATTTTCTTTTCACAGCAGCCATCTGAGCAGAGGGACCCCTCTCAGCATATCCACAGACATCCAGAGTCCCACAGTGAGCGCTGCCAGCAGGGCCGCTGCTCTCTGATCAAACGCACTGATGACTGGTTTGAGGTGTTTGCCTTCCACCTGGACCGGGTCCTGGGACTCAACAGAAGTCTCCCTGCTGTGTTGAGGACATTCCACAGTGAGGTTTTACCATACCGGTACATCAGGGGCATCCCCAGACCTGTAGTGTGGTGGGATCCAGACATTCAGCATCTGTCTGATGGAGACAATGACCAGAACTCAATACCTCTCAGTTGGGTCCACTACCAGAGGCTTCTGCAGGCCCACTGTGGGAGTGAAACAGACCTGAGGTCAGCACCCTGTGTGGGAGTTCACCACCTTGAGTGGGGAAGGCTGGCTCTCTTTGACTTCTTACTGCAGGTAAGAAATGTGTGATTTTCTGCAGAAAGCTCTAAAATGTTTAATGTTGTCAGATGTTAATCATCTTAATGACCCCTTATTTAGAAACATTCAATGTGAAGTGTTTTTCATATTTGAAGGAGTTACTGGGGTCATTAGAGTGTTATTAGAGGGAAGGATTCCTACTTGAGAGGAGGAAAGCATGAAGAGGATCAGGCTGTTTTACTGACAGTCATTAAAATACTTCACACTAAATGTGAATATCAGACTCACTCACACAGTTCCATCTGAGGAAACAGCAAAACAGAATGTACAAGAAGCTTATGGCACCATGGGGTCATGTGTGTGTAGGTCCCTGCGGTGCCATCATGGTGACTTCTGGTAAACCTGGTAAAGACTGGTAAACCCATTAATTCATGGGTCCACACAGCAACTGTATACTAACATCTGTTATATGATGCCAATAACACCTACAGGAGAGCAGATAAGTGAACAGTGGCTCATGCTGGTGCTTCGCCTGCTTCCTTGGCTCTCAGGCTTGAAAATATCCATGAAATCAGCTCCTACATGGTGCAGAGCTGATCCTTACTCTAAAGGACCAATGTGCTATATTTTGTGATCAAGGGTCCAAGTCACTTTGATCTCTCAGTCAGTCATAACCACTGATGGACGAAATGTTCCCATAGTTGGTATCACAGTTGGTCTAAACTAAAGGAAGGTGGAAGACAAAAGAACCAGCAGGTTTTTTTTTTTTTTTTTTTTAGTTTAGCCGTGTTCTGCCTTTCATTTGAGAGGCTAAATATATTTTCCAAGGACAACTGATTATCTTCTTTTGTTTTTTCTCACTTTTGTAACTGCAGTGAAAAATTCCACAAAAGTTTTTTTTTCTCTCTCTCTCTGTGATTACCATAAGTTGTTTCCTGGGTATCAGCTGACTCCATCACAAGTTTTGTTAGAAAGAATGATTAAATTAGGATTTTTTTTTCCGCATTAAGAACTTTTGGATAAACATTATTGTGCATAAATATAAACAGAATGCAAAAAAAAACTAACCTGGAAATGATCACTTTTTGGCATGAGCTGGATGAGAAATCATTCTTGGCCTGCATAGATATGTGTCAGGGACTGATTGTTCAAAACTACTCTGCGCTGATCAGAGCTGCTTGATATGAACAAAAATTAAATTGTCATTGTTCATGAGGAGTAGATGATGACAGATTACAGACTGGATCATATAATTCAATCTTGTATTTTGTCCAGATAGAACCTCCAGTTTTTGTTGTCCAAAATGGTTGAGTAGGATTAGGATCCATTTAATCCAGAAAATTGGGTCCGAGTAAAGGAGTTTTTAATTATTATATAGATACTTATCCACAGCTGTAAACCAAGTCTGACTCTTTAAATACATGAATACATGAACCTCCTCTGGGCGATACAGAGGCCCCTGGATGTCACAGTTTCTTTTCATTAAGCCGCTGTTCTCACAGAGGGAGTGGATTTTACAATAAACTGCTGCGATGTACCACATAATTTTTAGAGCTGACATTGTAAACACAATAATGAAAGGTCATAAATACTGGAGTTTTGTTCACCTGTCATCTGTCCACTATGATTTCTTCCTCAGCTCCCTCTTTGTCAATCACGCTGTCTCCCTCTTGTGATGAATCCTGCAATATGTTCCCAGGTTCTGTATAATCTGGATTTTAGTAATCTACCAACATACCTTGGTGGGAAATTCAGTCATGGGATACAATTTTTCAGTTTTCCTACGTGGAAAAGAGGCTATAGGTAGCAGGCGGAGGACATCACAAAGGCCCTCATTTATCAAATAAACCTTCAGCAGAAAACTGTCTGTACAACCATTTCCACACAAGGATTGGCATTTATCAAATTTGGACGTGAGCGTACACTATGATCAAATCTCACAACAGGTCTGACATCGTGTATGCAAGTTTGAGTCAGTGTGGATCTGCTGTGCAGCAAATGTCTGACTCAAAATAATTAATAAACAAACCTCAGCCTGCACAAGCAGACAGATTCTATGAAAGATTGATAAATAAAAAAATAAAATAAAATAAATTTGTTTTGCCCCGAGTAAATAGACCTATTTGATAACCCTGCCAGCAAACACTGCCACAGAGCAAAAGCACTGTTTTAACACACACTCACGCGCCTCTGTGAAGTGCATATTTTGACTCCTAAAAGGCAGGTGTCTCTGTGTTGGCCCAGCAGGGGGGGTAACATTGTTGTACACTCCTGAACAGGTGTGGGACATTATTTGGGCCAGTACAGTTTTGCACAATGTTGCTCTGGCGAATGGAGTGCCGTTAGATGTGCCAGTGCAACATGAGGACCCGTTGCCCAGAGAACAATAACAAGGCTTTAGACTCCACAAAGGTGCAGTACAGAGGAGAGAGGACCTTATCAATGGATTCTGACATGTAAAGTATGACTTCAGAAAGTGCTCTTGCTATTTAATCAGTGATAAAAAAATCCAATAAAAATTCATAAAGATGTGCCTCTGGGCAGCAACACACCGTTTAGTGAGGTTCATAATAATTTTTGTTCAGCCTCTGTCAGACTCTCAAGTCTGCTCTACATTACAAGAAAGCAACAAATTAAAACTTAATACTTTTAATAATAGGAGCAACATATGGCAATCAAAAAATATGAGGCATGAATGAGAATATTTATCCTCTCTCATGTTTGACTTCAGTGGGTGAGGCTTATGAATATTTAAGGGTGTGAACATGTTAATGATGATCGATTTCAGCAGCCGCATTTATCAAGACCCAATCATTCGTACACTAGGATTAGTCAGATACGAACCCTTTTATAAATCTCACATGTGTCCTATTGTACCATGAATCCTGCACTCAGACCTGCACTCAGTTCTACACAGGATTGATAAATGAGGGCCAAAGAGATGTTGGATTGCCTGGGTTGCTGCAGTGAGGCACAAGGACATCACAATCCACAAAATATCTCCTTTTGTACGAGTTTGCTCTTGGAATATTAACAAAGTAAAATAATAGTTTTTGTTTGTTTAAATAGTAACTCCATGGGCCGGTTGTCTGACCTGTAAAATTCACTAGAGCTGATGCACACCTAGATTGATCTAGCCTTGTTAAATCCTTCAATAGTTGGTAAAATCAATGGATGAGGTTGGAGGTAGCAGTGCAGTGTTGGCTCTCCAGCTGCTCGCTGCTAGTTCATATGGATCAACATTGTTACTTGTTGACAATTTAGCAAAATACCTTTCACTGGCATCTTTTTTTAATTCACCTGGATAAGGTTTTTGCTCATTTTGCTTTTTTTTGTCTCCAGTCATGCAGTTTAACACATAAGCACCCTCACTGACTCTGCATTGACCTCTGTTGTTTAAACCCGTTTACCCACAAAATGGTGCAGGGGGGCGTGTCCATCAAGTGTCTGACCAAGACCAATTCAATCTCTGCCCCTAACTCGATGCTGTGCATGTTTAGATTCAGATATGTCCTAGCCAAACCCATCCAAATTTTTCTTTGGATCACTGCTCTGCGGGACGGCAGAACACCTTAGTATTAATTTCACATTGACCATCAAAGCTCACAGCGCACTGAGTGGTTCAAACCTTTCTTTTGATTTGCTCAGTGAATGGGAATGAATCATCCTCTGCTTTCTCTTTCATACACAAACACAAACACACACCAGCTGTCCTCACTGGCCGAGCCATTTAATTTAGTTAGTGATCAAAGATACAGCCATAAGTGTACTTGAGATAAGATGCCATCTGATCTCACACATTAGAAGTAGAAAGCTGTTTGTAGCAGTCCTCCCACTCTGCAAAAAGTTTCTCCGTTCCCTGTGAGGATTACACAAGAGATCAGCTTCAGTTCAACAAGACAGTATGTGGTTTTAATTATACTGTACAGCAGTAAATACTGCCCTGTCAACAGAGCCTGCACTGATAAAAGCATCTGCTTCAGTTTAAGTAGCAAACCATCAGCTGTGTTTTACAGGCTGTGTTAAAAGGCTGTGGTGGCTTGAATGTTAAATATGTATAAGGTACAACATATCGATCATCAATAAGCCAGAGTACAAAAGCTTCTTTTCATGTGCAGATGAGGGGGCCACCAGAGGAGAGATTCCTCCCCGAGTAGACTGGTGTTTATTTCAAGACAGGAATGAAGTGAAACTGTGTATGGACTGAATGTGTTTTTTTTTTCCTTTAGCTCTCAGAGTGCAGAACATGAATCCACTGGATGTATCATGGTTCATACTGAATGCCTCTGCTGCTAGTGAGACTATTAATGTGATCATGGTATTAGAGTTCATTTGCATTGAAGACAGGTTCTATGAGATTGTCCAGGTAACCAGTCAGTCTGATGGCAGGCTGTGCACAGATGTTCTGAGATCAGCATATTCAGAGCCTCAGCAGCTGTTGATTATACCAGCAGGCACGCAGCAGGTTCATCATTCTACATTATCACACCATCGTGCAGAGCTTTTTTCATAACCCAGGTGCAGAAGAGGCCTGTGTGCATTATAGCAGCAAACATGCCTCTTTTACATCCAAGAGACGAGCTAAAGATGGAGCTGAGATGAGGACACATCAATTCTGAATCCACATTCAAAACGATTATCTACAGTTTGAAATCTGCATCACATGCAACTTAAAACCTTGTTTAACCTGTAGAGTGGACACAGTCTGCCTCCTTGCTGGGTGAAGCCACCATAGAACAGCACCCTCTGGTGTAGTATAGGTCATAAATCCCGCTTCCTCCAGCAATCCCTATGGAGCTGTGGACAAACTTTAAAAATTATTTACACAGGATATATTTTTTTCTCCGCCCTGGTTGCGATGTTGACAAGTAGTTACAGTAAGACTGGTTTGTGTTCAAGTCCTCTTTTTTCTGTATAGCTCCATTTTTTAAAGTTATTAGGGGTTCATGTTTTCTATGATTGACACTTGATACAGCCTATGGGCGCACAAAGATTGCATAGCTCACCCGGGGGATACGCTGTTTGAGCCGAGCGTCATCACAGTGACTCTCCCGCCGAATGTGTACAACGCTACTGTGCGAGTGGTGGTACCAGGAAGTGAAGAAAATCCTGGAAATGTACATGATGAGAGACACTGATGTCAGTTTGTCTGTCTACCATCTGCAGAGTGGGGTCTCTTGGTAATGAAGAACCTGTCAGTGCTGCTCTTTGAATTGTTTTGTGCTGCTTGTTGCTGGCAGTGTTCCTCTGTGCTCTCATAGTTTCATCAAGTCTTTAATAAGACATGAAAACAAGATTGCAAATGAAAATTCAGTTTCTAATGTTGCTGCATCTTGTGATCATATCTTTGCTTTTGTTGGTTAAAAGATGATATGCAATTATACTGTGCAAGTATTGCACAATCTCATTTATGGTATTTATTAGGACACTGAACAAAAGGAGCAGGTCGAGAACAGAATCTTCATGACAATTATAGGCAGACCAATGCAAAGATGGTATCAGACTGAACACCATCTTGTAATATTAGACCCACTTAGTCTGATCCATCTTCAACCACAGAGTGTAACACATTTTAAGTTCTAGTGGAGAGGAAGAACTTGAAAGAGAGACAGACAGACAAACAACATGAAGCAATTAATGTTTTTTCCAGGCTCATGATCTGGCTTCAGACCTTCTTAACAAATAACAATCCTAGGATTATGGCTGGTTGTTTCAAAGAAGAGTTTTAGAAGAGGATAGGGAGAAAACACAGATTCAGGTACAGAAAATGTCACAATGGCAGAAATCCAGACATTCCTATGATGAGGTTTCAGTCAGTGATTGTTACATGTCTGCATCCAGTAATAGAAGGCTTTCTGCATCAAGCCAGGCACCGAATAAATCAAAAGGGAGAGGGAGAGATTTCTGAGTGGCAGCAACACGCTTTGATATGGTGTGAAGGATCAATGAGAGAGACGACAGTGCACATCCTTGTGGGGAGCCAATGGAGGAACAGGCCTAATCAGACTGGGTGCTGTTCATTCTTCTCTTTATATTTTGTTCAGTAAAGAAGTTTAGAGTCAAGCCAATGAGGTTGTTACTTAAACTCTATTGTTCAAAGAGCCTTTTTTGTTAAAATTAGGGGTTGACCTTTAGCAAAGTTTTCTTTCTACAAAGGCACCAAAAACCAGGCTGTCACTTCAAAATTACCACTTGTCTTCAGGATCAGGTCAGATTATAGCATTTACAGGGTTTTTATTTTTATTATTTCAACTTGTGTTGTTCTACTTATAAATAAAAGCAGCCGAACAATCTGAGCTGCTAACTTTAGCTCACTACCTGTCAAAATACCCTTTATCTCATAGCATGGATTGGTAAAAAAAATCATTGATGCGACATGAAACGTTTGTAAAGTGGTCAGCCGGGAAGGTTTTAATATCCTGCTGAGAACCAGTACTGGTGAATCAATGTGCTAAATATGCGTAAACATACAGTGGGAGAGCACTCGTGGACATGCTCATACACACAGAGCTCCAACAATACATCGCCACAACGACTTTTCAATAAGTCTGTCTTATTCCCTTCATCAGGGGAACAGAGGCTGAGGGAGTTTTCCCCATAGTTACACCTCCATGCATTACACAGGGCAGGAAAGATATCCTCTTTGAAACAGCAGCAAGTATGAGACTTATGAGATTGTGAGAAGGTTAAAAGCTCCCACTGTCCCATGAATTGGACAAATCATACCAAGAAGACACCAAACAGGATACACACAAAAGTTCCAACAAACAAAACAAGAAAGACCTGACATGGCCAAACGTTACAACAGTGGAGGAGGTATCTAGTTTGTGTTTGTTAGGAATAAGCCAAATTAGAGGCAGCACTAAAGATAACAACATACCGTTATGTCTTCATAGTTTTTAACCATAATGCACAGAATTTCCTTGAAAAGCTCTAAACAATTTGAGTTGGCTGTGAGTTGCTGGTTTGGCTGCAGTGCTCTAACCATTGTGTAGGTTCTGCAACATTCACCTGTAACTGTAAGGATACAGAGCAGGAGCAGGAAGCTTCATCCTTTGCTGTACTGGTGGTAGAGCTAACATGAACCTGAAACCAAACCACTTTTCCTTTTAGCTGTCCTCTTGGTAATGCTGCTATGAAAATATACTTAGATTGGTAAGAAAAATAAAATAAATAAAAGATTTACTTCATTAAAAGTCTAAAACTTATGATTATAGGTCATAATTGTCAGAAAATTGCCACTATGACCTTTTCAATATCAGCCATCATGTTTGTCTGTGGAGGAAGCTCGTCAATCTGATTTTCATACATCAAACAAAAACAAATCAACTGTATCTTTCAATCTCTCCTCTCTTCACCTCTCCTCATCCCCCCCACCCTCCCATTCTCCTCTCCTCAACTCAGGTAGCAGTGCAGGTTTGCTTTGTTCAGGGCTCCTGACAGTAACTGTGTTCATATTGGAGATACAAATGTAGTTGCAGTTTCTGGAGGAAAAGGCCATTAGTTTCAGTCATTTTTGGGCCTTTTTAAACTTTATAATTTAGACTAAAAAAGTTTTTGTGACTGGGCACCAAAGCTGAAAGGATGTTATTAATCTTTGAAGCCAGAGTGGTAAACTATGAACTGAAACAGGGCTTGTCCTCTGACACTATTAGGAGGCCAGTTTGAAGATTCAGTGGATGTTTACAGGATTTTTAACTGTGTTTTTGCTCTTTTATTTTGCTTCAAATGAGCTGTTTATAAAGTGTCCATTTTAACATTGTCATCCCATCGAACCATAAATATAACATTAATTTGTCCAGGTTTGTATTATTTATCATTGAACACTGGAGTGTAATCCAATATCTAATCTATCAAGCTCATTTCTACATAATGGTTTGGTGTGTGTGTGTGTGTGTGTGTGTGTGTGTGTGTGTGTGTGTGTGTGTGTGTGTGTGTGTGTGTGTGTGTGTGTGTGTGTGTGTGTGTGCAGGGGTATTGATGTGTCAGTGTCTGTGGGTATGGATGTGGTGATGTCAGTTCAATTAAAAACCCAATACAGCTGCAGCCTGGATACACATGCATGTGGCCTTGTGTCTACCAGAGAGAGAGAGAGAAAGAGAGAGAGAGAGAGAGTGTCTTCAGATTTACATTTTGAGTGGAGCTCATTTATGAGGTGTCAGCGCCTAACGATGGTGCCAGACTTGTTTATTTCTCTAAACAACAGACAGGCAGAGAAAGAGGGAAATTAAATCCTTCAGAATGCTGAGAGACACACAGACACACACACAGAGAGACAGACAGATAGATCTATTTACTGCCGTTTAAATACAGAGATTATGAATTGTTAATTAACCTTGGTTTCTTCCACCTAATCGATCTGCTCTGATTGAGGGTCTTTCTGACTTTTCAATTATCACCATCTAATTTTGAAGATTTTTTGGAAAAAAGCACCCAAACCTCTCGAAGTGTTCAAATGCTCGTCTCTGGAGACCAAAAGTAAACACAGATATTAGCCCCAATTAGTGAGCTTACTGCTGACTGCAAAGAGATCTTCTTTCTGGGAAGCATGCCAGTTGTCGAAGCTTTCTGCCTATTTATCTCCCCACAGCAGCTTGTTTGAAGCTAATGATTTAGTATGTGGGAAGCTGGAGAGGTAGTCCACAGAAAACACTGACCTCATTTGTATATCTAACACTAAATCACAGCTCTTATCTACATGCTAGAGACAGGTTTGACCCTCCCAAAAATCCACAACACGAAACAACTTTGCAAATGACAAGCAAAGTAAAAATCACCTTTTTTAAAGCACCAAAGCAGAATCAGGAGAGTTAGGGAAAGTTTGACTCTATAAGGAATAAAGCTTCTGGTCCTCATGGCCAAATTTTTAACTTAACAGCAAAGCCAGCGTCGGCTCCAAACAACTAGATGCAGACCCCAGACTGTACAGACACACTGACTTCACCAATTTGTTTCTAATTCAGTGTTTTGAAGCCTATCGAAGGCAGTCCACATCTTGGAAAAGTTAACTGAATCTCCCTTTGGTCAACCCAGAAACTGACAAATCAAGTGTTGTGGTTTTTGTGGGGCCCAATTTTTAACTCGGACTGCTCTCAACTCAACTCATCTTTATTTATAAAGCACTTTAAAACAACCACAGCTGAACATAATGTTGTACATAAATAGACAAAAAATAGACTAGGATGCAGAGCTTCTCAGTGCCATGACAGCCCTGCAGGAAACCCTGTGCCTCCTACATCAAATAGTACCTGAAGAAATGTTCTCTTTTCGTACACAAATCAATACAATAAAAAATAGTTTCCGCTGCAGCCTTCTCACTGTACACAATAATCTTGTGTCTATAAACTCTGTAAATTAGTTTTTAAATTCCATCTTATTTATGTTTTTGTGCAAATAAGTGCAAAAGTGAGTTATTCATATCTGGATAAATTTGCATGCAGTCTATGAAGCTACAAGCACTGTGAGAAAGGCAAAAAGTGTCCGTCTTCAGAGCATGAACTCAAAGCTCCCTACAATAATACTGTTTGCATCAGTGAAATGTTGCTGTGATTATCCAGACGAGATGCTCAAAGTTATGACAGCTTTGCTTCAGCTCAGAAAACAAATTATTTCCCATTATAAAAAGTATCTGTGTTTAATTATTCACCACTGTGGTCTGTTGGAATGAACACTTGAAGCTGCACATCCACCGCGGTTTATTTGACCCACACTGGTATCTCTCTGGGCTGACTTAAAAACCATAAAGTTGAGGGGGCTTTGAAGTGATGGTATAACTTCATCAGTATTTTGTTAGAAAGGCTTCAAAGTCTTGCCAACATCCTGGAAGAAGACTGGAAGACTGATAAATGTGTTGCACATGTAAAACATGAGCCTCATGCAGACTCTAGAGACCTGAAGAAATTAACAGTCAAAACTTCAAACTAAACAGACTAATTCAATTCAAATGAATAAATGCAGATGGTGTGGTTCACTCAAGGATTATTTGGCTTTTGCACACTCTTAACCTTTGCAGTTTAGCAAGAAAGACAGCATCTCGTTCAAACATCATGCAGAACAGGTAAAATGCACCACAAACTGTGCTGTAGAGCAGATCAGCCTTTGCAAACATTTAAATGAGCCATTATGAATTTATTTGGAGCAAAATATCCAAATAAATCTCATTAGACAAGGCAGTTTGTCAAGTTAAATTGCCTGATGGGGCTACAACCAAAGCTCAACTCAACTGTGCATGTAAACAAATTGAGTCATGACTTGTATCCATAATCAGATGCACAACAAGAGCAAACTGCTCAGAAATCTGCAGAAGAACACAGTGAATGCAAACTGCTTTATGAACTGAGCCCTGAGATGAAGCAGATAGTGAGGGTGTATGATGAACAACTCTTGGTTCAGTCTTAATCAATCACGTACGACCCATCCTTTTAAGAAGAATAAATCTCAAACACCTCTGGATCACATTTTGTCATCATCATGTGTTTTTTTTGAGTAAGTCTACCTAACTTTTTGTCCTCAAACATGTCATCTCATTGTGTGTCTTTGTTTTGTATTGTTTGAATATGGTATTTGTGTAATTAGTGTAGCTATCACTCTGTGAACATGTTCAGTCAGACCGAGTCCCTTAACTGGGTATTGTTAAATATTTCACCTTATCAGTGTTCACTCTGACACTGTCCACTTAAGCTGCAGAGGCTGTACCAAATTGCTGATTTTACAACCTCTAATAGTCATTTTGTCCTGCTTTATTTTCTCTGCACACTGAGAATGAATGTGTATCTAAAACCCATCGACAGTGTGTATGTGTGTGGGGGGATAGAATATGAATAACCCATGAGGCAGCTCTCTCCCCCTCGCTGCCAGAAGTCAATCCCTGTAACAGGGCCAAGCTCTAATAGCCTCCTATTGATCTGCTGAGAGCCGATGAGTACGCCTCTGAACACTTGTTCCTACCTGCTCCCTTAACACCTCCCTGGGCTCTGATAGCAGGAACCAAACACCAAAGACACAGGAAGAGCAGTGTGAAGGACACACCCTCACCCATTCACACCCAAACACACACACACACACACACACACACACACACACACACACACACACACACACACACACACACACACACACACACACACACACACACACACACACACTTATAGTGGAGGATGGTGGAGAAGGATAAGGTTTCAGGTTGGGTGATGGGTTTTCAGAATAAAAGGCACTCTGCTTCACACTGTTACAGAGCAGCTTCTGCCAGTGCTGTAGGGGGAAATCAACCTGGACTCAGCGCAGTCAGCATGTTTGTGATTAAATCAGTTTAAAACATGATCATGGTTAAACAACTACCACAGTTAACTGCATCTTAGATGAGCCCTTTCAACAACAAAAAAATGAAGCACTAAAGGTTTTTTTATTATTATTATTTAATGTATGCACTCACTAAAATAAAGGTTTTTAATTTTTGAGCATTAATATGGCACAGACTAGCTGCAGGCATAGATGTTTCCCTCTGGTCACAAGTGTGCCCTCCTAGATGCCTCTAAATACTGCATTCTGACCTTTTTACCAGTAAAAGGATATCAAATATAGGTGGTTTATCCAAATCCACATCACCAAGAGCGTTGTGTTATTCAATAAAAGATGCAGTTATATCACAGTAAATGCTCCTCTAATGTAAACCAGTCTCACTCTAATCTTTACCTGACATCCACTTTTAACCATTTTTTCTTAAAATTGAACAAAAGGAAGCCAGAGGGCAGCAGCCCAACCCCCTGCAAAGATCAACTCAATCCCAATGCCATGAATGATTTGGGACAGAGAAAAGAGCTGAGGGTGTTTGATTCTGGCACTGTAATAACCAGACGCTGGAAGTGGAGAAAAGAGCAGCACCCACACAAAGTCAAATTTCATTTGAGTAAACTTTAAAAAATAAAGGCAGTACATACAGCCCACACTGCGTGAGCAAACGACTCGTGAATGCTAATGAAACAGTAGTGAGCCTTTCACACGAAACACTGAAGACACCAGTGTGCAGATAAGGTGACAAAGTTTTAATTAAGAGGAGAGAAAAGTGTTGACTGTCTATTGGTAGCTGTATACTGGGTATCATCATCAGTACTGAGCTGAATACAGAGACACGAAGTCAAACATGTTTACTCTATCAGCCTCGACACATAGACTTCACAGTTCATTCCACTTGAATTCTGTGTTGACTCCAACCACAGCAGAACCACATCTTGTCTGTCCCTGAGGCCTGCTGCTGTTCACTGCCACTGTTAGTCAATATTGGCTCAGTCTCCACAAAGCTGCAGGACCAAACTCAAAATCCATGCCCTCCAGTGTGGGATGGAAATGTGGCAGTGGGGTGAGAAGTCTCTGAAAAGCATTGCACAAGTAAGAGGAAACAGAGGAGGTGCAAAAACAAAACACACAAACAACTTCACACACACGCACGCGCATGCTCTCTGTCTCACACACACACACACACCTACAGCTGACCTGAGGGCACCGAGGTTGTATGAGTCGCACAGGCTTGTAAAAAGACACACAAAGCACACACTGCATATACACAGGTTAAGCAAACACAAAACAAAACCCCGAGGTGAACCTGGGGCACATCTCATGAAGCACAAGTCTGTTTGCGTCTTACTGTGTCAGCCTCAAACTTTAACAGCTCAGAGAAGATCACACAGAGCTCACTCTGAAGAAACGCTCTCACACTGTTAATCATTTCATCTGCTGCAGACTAGAGGATTCTTCACTACAGATGACATCAGCTCTTTGTGTCGAGGTGTTTTCAGCCAAAGATTTAGAAGATTATCATTTCAACCTCCAACATCTGATCCAGTCCTAATTTAGGTGGCTTTTATTGTTGTAATAATGTGTCACAATAACATAAAAGAAAAGCAACACTGATCAGATGACGATCAGCTGATGTCCATCTGATCAGGTCCAAGCTCTTTAGTTCTCAGCTTCTCTTGCAAAGATCTCTCGAACAGCATTTTCTCAACAAGTATACTGAGGTATCTTCTGTGTTTTGTTAACTCCTTTCTCCAGCCTCAAAGTCCTTCTTCAGGTCCAACAGCTGACTCATGCATGATGGACCGAGTAGGCCCACTACATGCCTCAGTTTTTATGTTTCAGTGGAAAGTTGAAGCCGATGTGGTTTTTGGTACTGTTAATTGTACCCCAAGTAACTCCAATTCTTACTTTGTTGAAGGGCTTATACACATGTGCAAAGACTGACCAAAATCAGTTACTGCAGTCTGAAGGTCAGTTCACACAGCAGGAATGTGGAGTCACACATCAGACTGATAGATCAGCATTAAGACAAATCTCTTAAACAGATGTCCCAGAGGCTGGAAATTCCCCAACCACAGGCATGTCCTGAGACGTTTAACCCACATCTCATGATTCCTTTATATTTTGGCTGCACTCACAGCTTGTGTATTACCTGAGGGTTCAGAATATAGTTTCTGCTGATTCGCTTTCCACCCAAGTCATTACATCTAGGTTTGTGTTCTGGTTTTATAATCATGTGATTTCATGTCAGCTCATGCAGCAAATGTCAAAGTGGATTCAGTCTGTGCTACACATTCATCTCTACACGTCAGACTGAGGTAGATCACCTTTTGGGATGATGAGCCAAGATGAGCTGCTAGTTTCAACATGATTTAGGGCATGGAAGTACGATGTGGCCCTTAACCTTTTTTTTTTTTTGTTGTCGGTTCCACATAAGAGTCTTTCAGAGTGAAATAAGCTAAAAAAAACTTAATTGTTTTCAAAGGGAAATACAATGAGTGTAGGTTTGTTGAGGTTAGAGCTTCTTAGCAACATGAAATAAGAGAATATATGTGTTTGCTGTTGCTTAAATTTATTATCCACCCACAAAAGAACGTACAGTGATAAAAATGGCTTTAGGAAAAGCAGTTTGACTGAACGAAAAAAATGTATTATTGTCATAAATTGATTCAATGTTATTTTGTTGTTCCTTCCCAAAAAATATAAAGATGTGAAGTGCTCTGTTTACAGTCTGAGGGGACGTCAGTGAGATTAAAACCAACATAAATATACATAAATATCAGCCTGAGATATCAGATGTTTCAGGTGAGACATGGAGGAGGGTTTGTTTGACCACTGCACATTCAAAACTTAGAGGGTTTCACACTTCTACTGGATCTGCAAGCATGCTTACAGCAAAACTTTGCAGCCATCAGTGTGTTTTTTAAAAATAGCAATAAAGATATTTTTTAACTACTTTATGCCAGAATGTGAAGACAGATTCCCATCCTCTCATCACGAGGTGGTTCTCAGGAATTAATGGCTGTGTTCCACTTAATAGGTTGTTTACCCATTATTATCATTAATGATTATGCGTTATACTGCAGGAATCACACAGTATGGATGATGGATGGATGGATGGATTGATTATGTATTACATTGTCAAAGCTAACAGTCGCGTGTGTGTGTGTGTTGTTCCAGGTGAATGACCGGTTGGACAGGTACTGCTGTGGTTTCACACCTGATCCCTCAGAGCTCTGTGTTGAGAACCTGCTGCACCACAAGTGTGCCTATACCAAGGACCTGCTGCTGGTTCACATCCTGGTATGGATCACTGGATGAACTCATGTTGTATGACCCAGACTGTAAACTTTAAACTCAGACTATTCTCCTCACAAGATCTTTGAGGTGTTTCTTTTAATTTACAGAGTTTAAAGTTAACCGATCCATGCTTTGACTGATGACTTCAGAAAGAAACAGACAGAAAACAGCTTTTCCGTACACTGAGCCAAATTTCAGTTTGAAGTAAGAACTTTAAATGTTACCGTTTTATCATCAGAGACATATCTGTGGCAGAGGAGCAGTAATATGAAGGAGGTTTATTGTTTATTTGTAATCAACAACAGATCATCTGAACCCGAAGAAGGAAATCATATATTTATATTTCAGAGAATGAAGTTGTAATGTTATGAGAATGAAGTTGTGAGAAATTAAAGTCATAATAAGTCAAGGATAGAGTCATAATCTTATGAGAATTAAGTTGTAGTGAAGAGCTGTCTTTACCAAAAAGGGAACAAAGAGTGTTATGTTCAATGAAGGAACAGCTCCCAGATTCACCTTCCTTCTCATTTTAAGAAGAGGGCTTTTTTCTCATGACATAAAGACACTTTTCTGCAAGTCTATTTTTAATTTAATGTGGTCCTCATAACCCAGTGGCATGATATGTTATGTGAATATCTGTTCATTTGTTTATTGGGGAAGTATATATCGTTAGGTTTATTAAGGTTCAGTGTGTAGAAATTTTCAATGAGATTTAGCTGTCAGATTCAAGCAGAAACACCCCTACTGCTCATCCCCGTGGCTGGTGAAGTGATGGTGGCCTTTGAGGACAAGATGCTCCTGTAAAACAGGAAGAGTACAATCCTCTATTTGACAAGACTTTAGCATCCAAAACATTAGTGAAAACAAATTCATTCACTCTTGTCTTCAATTCTTCTCAGCCCTCCAGCTGATGCAGTTTGAACATCCACTTACTAAATACAAAATCTGGCACATCACTAGCTTGTTGTTCTTTGCTACCATAGAAACATGGCAGTGTAAGATGGCAGCCTCTACACACACACACACACACACACATGCACACACTGAAACAAGGAGGTATGTCCGGCCTCCTACCGTTTCTCTTTTCTTAATGCTGGAAAATCCCTTTAACAGCTTTGAGGGGAAGAGAGTGACCAGCAATCCCAGCAATCCCAGCAATCCTCCAAATGATAGATTGTGGCTGCCAGTCTTATGCAAAGAAGCACAAATTAGAAAAGCTTTTTTTTATTCAGGCCCTGATATTGTCTGTGTGTGGGAAACTCTGTCAAAACTTTATTCATCAACTCTGAGTAAATGAGGAAGCATATCTGCTGCCATGTTTGTTTATGGAGCACAACATTTTTGTTGCTGTTCTACCATGGCAACGCAGGAGGATGCATCTAGGTATAATGGCACCAAAGAAGCTTGCAGAAGTCTTAAAGTCTGTGTTTTCTTAGATAGAAAATATTAGAAAATGAACTCTCAGCTGGGCATCTGTTCACACCTTATGCTACATGTGATTTATATTGTTCTGCACAGCTTGTAAAAATAGACAAAGCTGCAGTGTAAAAAGTACAGCAGGAGTTCATCTTCCATACTGCAGATAATTTAAAGATTCAAACTTACCATTTTTTCATTTGCTCTGGACTTGCGTACTCTGTACTGAATCACAGCAGGACTAATATCCCTAAATAGTGGAGCAGATAAGTGACATTATCGTTCAGTTAGTGATACAAGCATGAAAACTGGCATGAGATTTCTTCATGTGTCACTTTAGTCCCCGTGTGCCTTCTTTTTACATCTGTATTCGCAAGTCTACTCAGAAGACTCCTACTGCAGTTTTAAAAGTACCCACTGCATGTGTGTGTGTGTGTGTGTGTGTGTGTGTGTGTGTGTGTGTGTGTGTGTGTGTGTGTGTGTGTGTGTGTGTGTGTGTGTTCAGGTGAGGAAGGCAGATCCCTCCAGACTGGTGTTCATTGATAATGCCGGTCGGCCGGAGCAGTCCAGTGACAACCTGAACTTCAGGCTGGTGGAGGGCATTGATGAGTGAGTACAGGGCTCTGTTTTAGGAGGATGTAAATGTGAGTTTTTTTCTTGTCTGGCTCTGGCACTCGGCTCCATAAATTACAGCACACAGTGTCAGAAACATTTCAGGCTCACAGCAGGCACAAACAGTGTTGCCAGGAAAATTTGAGGAGAAAATAAAACACATCTAACGGTGTATTTCCCCCGTGAGCTGCTTTCAAATCAGCAGCACAGAAACGTCTGCTGCAAGGTTGTTATGGTTTTGTGACTCTGTCTGTCAGGTTAGATGAGAGTGGGTTCAATTAGGAGGCTGCTCAGTATGTTAAATAAATCAAGTCTGGTGGAAATACCCATTTCGTTGTCACTTAGAAATTCCTTAGCTGTTTCACAAGTGGTTAAAGTATCCTAAGCAAAGACAGAAAAACTTTTTTTATCACTGAGTTATATATTGCTAATAAAAGGACAGACTTATTCCAATTTTTCTCCTCAAACAACATTCAGAGAGTGTATTTCTGAGCTTGTATTTTAATTGAACAGTCTTTAAATCGGATTTAACTGAACCCAAACAGGCACGCTGATAAGAATGATGGATGGGATCATTTAAAAGTATCTGAGTCATGGTGCCCAGTGAAGTAAAGGCTTTGAATACTTTCAGCAAACTGTACTTTTTCTCTGCAGAACAGGCTGCCAGGTCTCATAAGTTATTTCAGGCATCCAGTGTTCAGAAAGTGTTCTTTCATAGACTATAACAGGTCTCTGCAGAGTGGAGTTCTTCGGAGGCTTGCATAGACACAATAGACTAATGGGGGGGAGTCAACAATGATCTCTTTGAAGAGTAATCTCCATATGGTTGAGGACTTTAAACAAGGCTAAGATTTCCTGGCCATGAAGTATTTGTTATTCACAGGCTGAGTAGGATTTGGCAACCGTATAGCAATTAATTAATCCATAGAAATAAACATCTAAATATTGGAAGAGGACTAGAATATGGGACCTTTAATTTTGCTCTAAAGATGCGCTTTTCTGCATGAGTGTGTATGTGGTTCACAGTGCTTCTGCAGCCAGCCCCAAGTGGACACACAGAGAACTGTAGTTTTAAAAATACTACGTTAGACCAGAGGTTGCAATTTGGCCAGATCTATGACTAGAGAGCACCACCTGCTGGACAATCTGTGTATAGCTAACAAATGAACATCAACTGGACATACACAAGCTCCCCAACATCAAAGAACATTAGTTTAAGTGAATAATGAACTTTGAAATTTTCAAAATGCTTTTTACATAATCTATTAACTTAAAATGAAATGACATGACAACCCTGTAAAGCCTGTACAACTGAAATTTAAGTTTCTTATTGAAAGCCCAACCCTTCATTAAAATTGTTTCTGTAATCAGGTTTCCAGAGAGGGCGGTGTCGGTGCTGCGCTCAGGCTGTCTAGAGGATCTTCTTCTTCACTCCCTTTACACAGACTGGGAGTTCTGGGACAGCCAAGGAGGAGCAAGCGGACTCAGGCCTCTTATCCAAACTGTGGAGCACAGAGGAAAGATTCTCCTTCAGCACATCAGGGACAAAAAACTACGGCTGGAGAGAGACCTTTGAGGACCTCAGTGGAAGACCCCTAATTGTCTCAGGGATGGGGTCGGTGTATTTGTTTTTTTTACAAAGAGGGCAGGGGTACGAAACATACCACAGCTGTATGACTTTAGGTACATCTGTCCCATTAGATTCACAAGCATTAAGCCTGATAACGATGGTGTTTAGAAACAAGCACTAAAACATTACTTGTGAGTTCTTAGTCAGCTAACCAACTAGCTACCTGTAGCACATTGCAGGTCTTCTCTGGTGGATGATAGCTCCTCTTGTAGTCTGACAGATGGAAATTCAGCCCATCAGTCTAAAGGTAAAAAGTCAGATGGTAGTCAGAATTATGTATAACTTGTTTAACACAGCCAAACACAGGGTCACTGAGTCTGTGGGCAAATGGTCTGCTGAGTGTGGCTAGCATTAGCAGAGCTGTGCTTGTTTATAGTAGTACAACAGAGTAGCATTAATCAACCAGCTTTCTTACCTATCAATCAGCTCTGTCAGATACTTGATTCTAAAAGGCATGAGCAACACCAGATCGTACTTCTTTAATTTAACCTGAGAGAATAGAACTCATAGCACAATAGTATCAATATTAATGTAATATATTTAAAGGTAGAAAAATATTGATATGACATAATGTGACATGAATGAGGTCACTTTTTTTTTTACAATCAGAAGAACCATCCATTCAATAGTTTTATTTTGTTGTTATTAATAAATGCTATTGTTATTGCTATTGTTATTAATGGAGTTGATCTCTGGCATCTTGTTCAGTGTTGCCCCACTAAGCACTGACTGTAATTCTGTGTAGAACCGTATACTGTTAGCTGGCATGGACCAGCAGACAATCCCACATTAGACTTAGCTTACAAACTCACGTTGGACCCACTTTTTAGCTCAGTAAGTACCCGCATGGACCCCACATGTAAATGTTGCTTTCATCTGAGACCGCTATCTCTATAAACACCAGTCTGAGATGGAGACTAACAATTTAGCCTCATAGTCAATAGGCAGTGTTGTTCTGGATTTGTACTTGGCATCCCTTTTGCTGTTGGTAATATTTCATTATATTATGAGTTACCATTATTAATGTTGAGAAACTTATGCTTAGAAGAGAAACAGACATGTGATCATAACTAAATACTACAATTTAGAAACTAAAACATAACCGCCCAGCATCAAAGTGCACTCAGAGGACAAAGAGATCAAACTGAAGCCTGAAGCCAATCAGTGTGCTGTGAGAATTTAAACTGGCAGGATGCAACACTTAACACAGATGGATTCATGTTTTAAGTGTGTAATTCATGCTGATAGTTTGATCGTCTGCATTAAGTAACAGAAACCCTGTAGCTCTGACTGTTGAGAGGCTCATCACTTCAAACAAGTTTTTCACCCGAACATATCTATAAAAGTTTCCTTACATGAGAGAAAAATATGACCAACAAACAGTCTACTGGCGCTGGTTTTTCATAAGAGTTTAGTGACAGAAACAGGATCTGTTCATATTTTACAGCCAGCCAACAGCAGATCGAGGGATTGATTCAGCTGAATGTCTGTTTTTAGGAGATAAGCTTTTCTCCTTTTTAACTAAGGGATTAAAAATGGCTGTCAGCAAATAGCTTCTGGACTGGATCCTGGAAGCCTTTTGATAAAAATGGACTATATATGTGTGTGAGTGTGTGCATGTGTGCATGTGTACTCTGTCTATTTCTTTCACAGTGGTTGTCCCTGCACGTTGTTGAGATGCACAGCAGGGTGGAAGCAGAGGATGAAAGAAGAGGGATGAATATGGATGGAAATTAAATGTCATTAGGAGAGGACAAAGGCACTCGTTTCTGACGCTGGAGTGTCAAAGAACACTGCTGGGTCTTATGAGAAGCTCAGATGATATCACTTGAAGCAGTTCTAACTTATATTTCCAGTCATTCTGTCAGCTCCTGGATTACTGTCATTTTCTGTGGCCTCTTTTTCATCACTAAATAAATGTCTCTAATTAGAAATGGTTCAAATGTGCAATCCTGTTGTTATCCCCACTTGATCTCTCTGGCATTAAAGACTACCAAGAGTTGAGAGCTGGTCACCACTCATTTCATTAATGTCTGCCTCCTATTAACTCATTCTGGACTAGAAGAGATTAAATGCTTTCATGTATACATTAAAAATCTTAGCACTGCAATTACTCAAGGGTTCAAAAAGCAGGATTTGTGAAACAAAAAAGTCAACCTCACAAAAATATAGAGGGTTTATTATCCATCATCTTTTTGAGTTTTTATGAGGAAACCAAGTCTAACAGTAGTCCACATGCATGCTTCATGAAGAGTGCCCTTCATACAGATTATTCTTCATATATTTAGCCCTGAAATGCTGCAGAGAATGTAATTTCAAAGACCGATTAATATCATAGAAAACATTAGGTTTTAGTGGCCAAGTGTTCCCGGGCAGAAACTTTGGTGACACTTTGGGCTTGATCTACTAAGATCCCAGATAGCGAATGTGAAATTGCGTAAGCAAACTAAAAAATTGCATGTGCTATTAGTGGGCATGTTGCGAGTGATCTACTATCATTGCATTTGCAATTGATAACAGGAGCAAAAGTGGTGAGGACCGCCCTCTCTAAACAAGGGTTTTGGGTGCGCTATCGGCCATCACCATGGAGAGTTTGTGAGAGCAGAGTAGTCGTAGACGAAAAATTGAGTTTGAAGTCAAGGAGTTGCACATATTGTTTTGAGGAAGCCAGCAACAGTATAAAGGGCAAGGCAAGTTTATTTGTATACCACCATTTATACACAAGGCAACTCAAAGTGCTTCACAGATACAAGAAGATGTACTGGAAATCAAAAAGTAGATTCAAACAAATAAAATCAATGACAGAGAGATAAAGTTTTGCAATTGTTCTGTGTTTGACCTGATTATTTATCAAAACTATCATTTACAAGAAAAACACTTTTGCCCCCTTCACCCCGCAATAACTGCAGCCATTTGTGTGTTTCAAACATGCTATATAGAGACGCAAAACAGCGACCACAATCGGTTTCCAGGTTTGATAGATTACATTGCAGGTGCTAAATGATTCCATTTGCATCTGCTCCGCCCAGAATTTTGTGTGGTCTGATGATTAACATACAATCTGCATATTTATGATGGCAAACGCTAAATCGATTGCGCGTGCTGTTTTGCTTATTTGACAGACGCAACCGTTGGTGCACTGGGTTAGTAAATCAGCTTTGCACGCGCTATCAAGTTTGCAAGTATTTTGGCACTCACAAACCTTTAGTCGATCAGGCCCTTTATCTCTTAATGCACCAAAAGCACACATTTAAATCCTTATAAAGGCATCCATGAGGCTTTGTGACAATCCTTGTAAGTGATTTTAAGCTTTCACGGCGGCTTTGCACAATGTTTCTGAAGTGTAATAAGCAGTAAACATGATGCCCAATGAAGTTTTCATTACTATGGTGCTTTTATTTACACTTACAACATGCTAAAGCATGATATAGGGTGCTGTAAGTAAAGTGGCAGTACTCTAGGGGGTTATTTACAATTATATGATCTTATAACACATTTATAGGAACTTATAAGCAGAGTTTTGTGGCTAAAAGCAAAATTCAGACAGACTTCACAGAGAACTCAGCTGCTAAAAATAAGGGCTGTTTTCATTAAGTTAATGTTATTTTGATTCTACAAATGTGTCTCCCAATGACGCTTTAAAACACTGAATGTGAGTGAATATCCACATTTTTCTGAGAGCATAGATCAGAGAGGGGGAGAGAGCAGAAGAGACAGAGGAAGATAGATGGCAAACATAAACAGCCAGTCACCCATGACTCATCCATAATAGCTATCATCATGGAGCAGTACGGTGAAGGTCATTATCTGACACAGAGCAGAAAGAATGGACTATTATAAGAGGTAGAGCAGCCACGGGTCTGAGCCGCAGCCTCCAGGCTGAGACCTGAACATGGGAATCACAGACCGGCATTCTGGGAGCAGGAGGACAGGTAATGAGGACATTTTCTTTCCCTATTTTGATTAACTCAAACTTCAAATGAACATTGTTTTCAGTCTTATTACCGAGGGCACATTTTCCAAACTAATTTCAACATCTACGAGAGCACACCGTTCCTGTGTGGATGAGTCAGTTGAGCTCAGTAAGTCAACCTGCTCTAAACAGATGGAAAAAAAACCTAACTTTCACTTAAACTAGCAGCATGTAATGCATAAGTTTTAGTTTATTGATAAATGCAACTGGCCAGGCTAGTGCTGCTCTCAGCCTCATTGGGCCCACCTTTGCCTATCCTCCAATCAAAAATACTCTTAGGCCAGATCACACACTTCACATTCAGCCTCACTCATGCCTTGGTCTCACAGAAATCTCACCAAATCAAACTTCTCATAGCCAGACTAACATTCCTACTTAATGTTCACTTGAGCATGCTTCAGTGTTTGCACAGCATGGCTCTGAGCCAGTGGTTAAGGGTGTGTCCATTATGATGAGATTCTTCAGAGATTTCAAATAATTAATACAAGGAGCATTGTGAAATTATATACAAGGAGCACACCTACAACATATATATATATATATATATATATATATATATATATATATATATATTTCAGTATTTCTTTATACAAAAAAAAAAAAAAAAAAAAAATGAAACCAAAGCAGAGGACGTATGAAAAAAATCCAATAATTGCTCCTTTTTCTTCTGGCCTGTCCCACTGATTTCAGTGCAAAAATTTTACATAATCTGCATACAATAGAGAAAAGTAATAGCACACCTACCCTGATCAAGCAGCACATTTTGATACATAATTTGTCCTACAACTCTTCAAACTATAACAGTGCCTTGGGACAAAGCCCCGGAAGCATCTTTATTGTCTAGGGGCCAGTGCCTCAGACCGTTTGCCCCGTGGCCCCAACTAAACTTTTCTCTCAAGCATACATGAGCTGTTTTTATTATTGCACAAACATCCAGATAGCCTCTTGCTAAAGTGTTTGCCAACTGATTTGGCACGTAATAGGTCAACTGGGAGATAACCTGAAAGTAATGAGCTGTCACCTACTTCTGTTGCAAAGACAGATATGGTTCTGTCAACGATGTGCTTGTAAACTTGGACAAGGACAGTAGTCTAGTTAAATCACCCAATCTAGCTTTAACTGCAGCTCGACTTATCATGAATGTTTCGCTCCCTGGCGCCTTTAACACATCTAAGTGTGCTCTGCTCTGATTACCACATGGTCCTCTCTCTGATGTAAGTAAATGCATCCAAATGATTGTTTTCAACCTCTTCTTTGCAGGTAGCTTCAGCTTCATAACAAGGCTGATGTGTTTTACTCGTTTTTACATCCATGGAGCTGCACTGTAGTTCTGGTGTTTCCTGTTTCCAGACTACTTGTCAACAGTTTCATAACATTGAGTTTCACAGTATAAGTCTCTTCTTATTTTATCTTCCCTTGTAACTCCTGCCTTTAGTCCAAGGTTGATGAAAACCCAAAGCCCTCCTCAGATACATTATGCAGAGGTGTGATTCACTTCAGGTGTCTGGGGGTAATAAAGGCAGAGTTTCTTCAGACAGTGGTCTGAGGTAACATGTATTATGTCTTTGCTTCGTGTTCTGTTAAACCAGTACTTTAAGATTGGATCTTGTTTCTTTACCTGACTTTTGGTTTTCCCTACAGCAAAGCTGGCTTCTCTCTAGGTGTTATATTCCATCAGAGTGGCAGAAGATACCAATCAGACTTCATTCAGAGAATCCAGCTCCACAGCCAGCATGTCCATCTTGATGTAGACCCTCTTCTCCATCTCCACATTTACTACTTCATTCATGCATCACACTCTCAGCTGCAGTGATGACTGCTGCAAGCCGCCAGCCATTATAGGAATATTTACACACTTTCTGCTCGTGCCCATCAGCTAATAATGATGTTCTCGCAGCAGGTGACAGCAAGCCATAAATAAAGGCCGCTGCAGAGAGCTCAGCTGCTCTCCAACTTCTAACTATGGAGCTGGGAAAGTGGATCAGAGATAGGTCAATGCCTCAAGCCTCTGCTGTTCCCTTTTTTCTTTAACACCCTGATATCTGTTCTCTTTCTCCTCTCTTATCTATTTCCCTTTCAGCTTTTCTAAGCTCCACTTTCTGCACTCCAGATCCTGATTTTGGATGTGACAGGTTCTCTAGCAGTATTTGTGGATGAGACAGGCTAACAAGGTTTGATTAAAAGCTTTGACAAAGTGAGCCCTTAACTGACTGTTACTGTCCTTCTTGTTCGGTTTACACCTTTTATCCCACTGTGAAAACCAATGGGACACACAGGGAAGTCACAGAGTTTCTTTTGTTCATTTGGAATTGGGTGCTCACAATCTTGGATAATCTCAAGTCTCTCCTTTTCGTGCAGTGATTACATACTGAGGGGATGCGGGGAGAATGCAGGGCAATGGCGATGATATAAACTGTAATTTGTTGTTTAAGCCCAATGGAGCTTGGGTCTTGTAACCTTGCATAGTAGGCATAGATGGCTTCTGCACTAACTTAGCCTGTCTGTGCTGAAGTTCGCTGTCTGTACTGTCAGAGTTGATGATACATAGTATTTTACTTGGCCGTGGCATAAATATTGAGCACAGTGTTGGTTCAGGCAGAACACAAAAGTCAAGCTTAGCCCACAGAACTTCAGCTGATCTCGAAGCCAGCCTGTATCAGCTGATAGCTCAGCAGATTAGGCACACAACTTACACTGCTTCAGTCGGCCTTCACTTGCTGCTTCCCCTGCAGCACAATTCCACCCTAGCTCCTCCTTTTTTACTGAGTCTGATCTCATCAATGTCAAATATATTGTTACTGATACCTGCTCTGTTCTGCTTGGGGTTTTTGCTGCTGTTCTCCCTGCACATGAGATGGAGGTGCTCTCCCTGCTGCAGCCTTTGTCATCTCACATAAACAGTTGGAAGAGCAGACCATACTGCCAAAAATAACTCTTGCATAAAGTAGGGTGACCATATTTTGATTACCAAAAATCAGGACACTC